CCGCCTCCCGCCGCTGCGGGAACCGCGGAGCTCCCGGTGAACGAGGCAGGGAAGAGCCGCCGATCGCGGCGGAGGGAGGCTCGGCAGAACTTGTAGCCCGGTTTCTTCTTCTTTCTCCAGCTTCTCCGCTGCCAGCGCTGCCCCGGGTTTGTGCCGACCCCCCCGCGGACCCATTTGTAGGGAGGCGAGAAGCTGCTTTTAGGATCAGGTGCTGCGTCCCGGTGGGCTGGTCCTGAGCGGAGGACCGCGGGTGTTTTTCCACGGAGGAGCGTTGTCTGGAAAGAACAACCTGTCTGACCCCAGGCCGCCTGCAGGCTCTGCGCTGGGGTGGCTCGGAGGGGCTCAGAGACTTGGGTGGTGGGTCCCGACGGCCGTGAGGCTGGCGTGAAGCAGTCGTCGAGGCCTCCTCGGTGTCCTTTGAGAAAGGCGGCATCCTCGGTTCTTGGCTGGGCTCGACATTGGTATCGCCTCTCGCTGGGGAGGTGCTGGAGGATACAGAGCACACACAGAGCCTGTGGTTTTATTGTTTCTTTGTTGTGGGCTTTGATCAGTTTTAGTCGTCCGGTAGTAAATAAGAGTGGCTTATTTTTATTTTAGTGTTTGTACTGCTACCACAAAGTTTAATGGTGAGGCTTGTTGCAAATTAACCCGTAATGATAAGCCTGCAGAAGGGAGAGGAACAGCAAAGAGAAAGTGCTGAGCTGTTTGCCTGCTTGAAAGGGTGTGAGACTAAGTCGTGCCCCCTGCAAGTTCTGCTCAAAACCCTCGCTCTTCCAGTGTCGGTGTCTGGTTTCCGTGGCACCGCGAAGCCCAAGCCGGGGATGTCATGCCAGGGGAGAGGCTCAGCAGAGCTGCCAAGCCCGCAGACCGTAGCCGTGAGGGATGCGGCACCACTGAGACCTTCCTTCCCAGCAGACTGCGTGGAGTGCTGCTGTGGGAGTGTGGCAGCAAAGCTACATTCTTCTCGTAAAGTTAAAGTGGGGGATTCCCCACTCGGTACCCAGGTATTGTGTAGGACCCTAGCACTAACTTGAAATTTAGTTTCAAGGCAAGTCTGTGCTTTCTTGAGCACCTTGTGATAGTTGCAGGATAGCTGGAAGTCAAGCGCTCTGCGAGGAGAAGTAAAATTTGGTCAGTATCGTTCAAAGCACTAAGCACTTGCCTGCCTTGCTAGTGTGCATCCCTGAGAGAAGAAAGAAGCCTGGTTCCTGATTGCTTTTAACAGCATCATATGAGAGGTGAACTCTGGCATTAAAGGGTAACCACAGTCCTTGCTGGAGTGCGTTTCCTGGCAAGTGGGCATGAGCTGGCAGTGGTGGGGTGGGCAGGGACAAAGCCAGAACCGCCTGGTGTGGGGTCAGAGCTGCTCCTGCCAGCAACGGCTCTCCCAGCCGCTCAGCTGACCTGAAGCCAGCCCATGGACGTGGATGCATTTTTGTGTTGTCTGTAGGGCTCCGACCACACCGGGGCACTGATCTCTGGCTGCTGTGCGCCAGACGACATGGACAAAGCGGGCTGCTTCAGGGATAGTGCTGATGGATGGTGCAGCTCCCCGTTTTGCGTTACTGTTTTTTCTGGTCACTGATAATAACACCGCTACTCTAAAATACCAAGTGGCAAATTTTGTGAGGTTGTCTCCCTATTCAGTTAAGCTGCTTGTCTAGTGCTTTGTGGAAAGTGGTCGGAGGTGGCTGAGCACATGGGTCATCAGGAGGCTGGTCCGCCGCTGCATGTGCTGGGTGGGGGGACAGCGTGGGAAGTGCGGGCTGAGGTCCTGTCATCAGGAGGGGCATCGTGACACTGGCAGCCACTGTTTTGCAGGGCAGGACATGGCAGCGAATGACGCTAGGCAGGTGGTGGCACGAGCTGGAGCAGAGGGATGTGGTCTTGCATGCCATCAGCAGCAGCAGCCTCATGCCAGGGTGGGACCGGGTGTCTGGGGTCCGTTACGAGCCGTGACTGCTTTGCTGGTGGTACATTGCCAGCCGTCACGAATGCTTTCTTCTTCTCGATCCCTCTTCTGCTCAGAGGGTCCCACTGGTGTCCCCGGGTGCTGGGCCACAGGATGAACTCGGCCTCTGGAGAAAGCTCCACACCTTTCCTAATGAGCCCTGCGTCCCAGACAGGACCATCAGGTTGGCGCTGGGGACTCACAGCCCTCTCTCGCTTGCAGCGTGACCCAAGCCAAACTCGTGGCAGCCCTGCATCGTGCAGCGCCCGCTTCCAGCCGTGCCTTTCACTCCCCAGGGGGGCTTCTGACCTTGCGCCCACCCCACCTCAGCGGCTCCTCACTCCGTGCCGCTGGGTGAGGGCTGGCAGATGGCTCTCCCAGGGACCCTCTGCCAGCCCCCCCCCTCCAAAAAAAGGCCCGCATGCTGCTGAGCGGTTCCCCTCGGCTCTGCCGAATGTCGTGGCTCTCCCGGGAAGATTTGGCCTCAGCTTCACCCTTCTCGGCTGCCGGCCGTGACTTACCCGGAGCGGCGTTGCAGCCGGCGGCCTGGGCAGCACGGTTTCCATCGCTGCGCTCAGCCCGCGCAGCTGTCGCTCCTTCTGCCTTTCTGAGTGCCGGGGAGTCCTGCTGGGGCTGGAAGGGGGTTTCCCCCCCTCCCCAAACTGCTGCCTTGCCTGGCAGTCCGGTCGTGGCTGCTGGGGTGGCCGGCTGCTGAGGTCTGACGGAGAGTGGCAGGGAGAAAGCCAGGCAGGGGACGTGGCAATGCCGCGGCCTGCTTGGGGCAGATTGGACGTGCTTGTTCCTGCGCAGTCTTTGAGCCCCAGGGTTAAGGAACAAGGTTTTTAACTGCCCCGAAAGAACAGAGGCCGCGGAACGGCTTGTTCGGGGATTGTCGGCCTGTGAGCGGGGCTAGCAGGAGATGGAGGGAGGGAGGGAGGCCGGCGGGGTGATGGTGGAGGGAGCACGCCGTAGGGTCTGCTTGGTCAGATCCCGTGGTCTCCGCCTGAGGTGTGCCGGCCTGCTGCTCTGTTCGGCTCTGTCCCCGGAGAGAGATATGTCCGGCGGGGACTCGTGTGTCCCCGTCAACGCAGTGTCCCTGCCCTGGCTGAGCCTCGCCGTCCCCTCGGTGCCCCAGGAGCCCTTCGGGCTGACTCCCGCGTCCTGTCCTTCGCAGGTGCCGATGGAGGTCAGCGGCCTGCCGGCGGAGCTGTGGCGGCTCATCTTATCCTACCTGCGCCTCCCGGACCTGGGCCGCTGCAGCTTGGTCTGCAGGACCTGGTACGAGCTCGTCCTCAGCCTGGACAAAACGCGCTGGCGGCAGCTCTGCCTGGGCTGCCTGGAGCACAGACACCCCAACTGGCCTAACCAGCCCGGCGTGGAGCCGCCGTCCTGGAGAGAGGCTTTCAAACAGCACTACCTGTCCTCCAAAACCTGGACCAAAAACACGCAGGACCCGGAGACCTCCAACTGCCTCTCCCTTTTCCGGAGGAGGAAGGGCCGGCGCCGGCTCTGCGTCGGCGCTGGGGGTGAATTTAGCAGCCTGAGGGCTGCCCTGGCTGCCGCCGGCCCCTATGACCGCCTCGTGCTGCTGCCCGGCGTGCACGAGGAGCAGAGCGAGGTGCTGCTGAAGGTGCCCGTGGAAATTGTGGGGCAAGGCAAACTGGGGGACGTGGTACTGCTGGTGAGCATTGACCAGCACTGCCCCACCGCCCGCCTCTGCAACGTGGTCTTCATGCCGGCCCGCTTCACCTCGGTGGTCTACAAGGTGAGGCTTGGTGGAGCTGGGGGGGCGGGGGGGATGGCGAGGCCGGCGAGCTGTTGCAACCGAGGGGCTTCCCCCGGTCTGCAGGTATCCACAGAGTGTGGCCGGGGGGGTTCGTGGGACTCCCTAATGTGTGGGGGGCTCGGGGGCTTTGTCCTCTGACTGTCTCTACTTCGTTAGAGATCACCAGAAATGCCACACAAATCACTGCTAGCAAGAATGCCTTTGGTTAATAAAGCAAATATATATGTATCAGGCTATTACAAAGTACTATCAGCAATCAATAACACAGTATCAATCAATAGTATGGCAGCAATCAGTAACAGAAACAATCAATCGTATAGCAACAACCCATAACAGCAGCAAACAAGTAGGTAAATACTATAACAGCTTACTGCAAACTTACCACCAATACAACAGCAGATATGCTTATGGTAGATTACTTACATGGTTGTATAATACAGGTATCAAGAGAATTAGACGGATTTCAGAAGGTGCCAAGCGATCTGTCGCAGGTGAATTATTAAGAGAGGTCATCGTGGTGGGGTAAACTAGAAGGGTTTTATGAACGGGTAAATGATGATCAAATGATCAGTAATTGATGATTGAATAATAATGAAATGGTAATCAAATGGTGATTTAGTAATAATTGAATGGTAGTGAAACACTGATTTGACAATGATTTAAATGATGATTTAAATGATAATTTAGATGGTGGTCAAACACAACTACTTACTACACCTCCAATAATTAAGATATAGCTGGATATATAAACGTCACTAGCATACAATATACTTTTAGGCCTAATGTAAAATGTCGCTTGCCTTGCTGTAGGAATCAGATGCTGGGTGAGGGGTCTCTCAGCCTCCAGGAGTAAACTTGCGTCACTGCTCAAGGCAGATCACCACCATGCAGCCCGCTGCCGTACAGGAGAGCTAAATGGGCTCAAGGGCTGGCTGCAGATATTATAATGTAAAGTGATGAACTCTTGTGCAGGTGCGCAGCTGTAATTTTGTCTAGTTTTGTTTAATCCCAGCTTGGGGTGGTACTGTTATCTCCTGATAAGACATGCCCTAGACTCCTTCATCCCTGAGAAGATTTGGCCTGGCACTGTTCTCACAGTTTGCACAGCAGGGCTGGCTTCAGTCAGGGCTACTTGTCAGTGATGCCTCCCCAAAAGCACTGTTCACTCGGTGAGAGTGGGCGCATCTCTTTCACCATCCCAGAGGGGCACCCAGCCATCCCAGAGATGGGAGGGCAAACCGAATCAACCCCAAAAGCGGGGCCGAAGGGGACCAGAGAAGTAACAGAGTCTCACATCAAAGATGCTCTCTGTCACAGTCGGGCATCCCCAGCCAGGGTCTGAGATCTTGTAGCAGGTTCATGTGGAGAGTTCAGCCAGTTTAGGAAGGGAGAAGTACATGCAGGATGGGATGTTCTCAGAGAGAGAGGCTCCATTTTGGATAAAAATTAAGTCTGTTTTAAAAGGGTGTAGCACACCACCACTTTGAGCAACCAGTAGATGCTGTTAATTTCCGTTTTTCACCTGGAACAGCCAATAGATGGTGATGGTTTTGTTCTTTCAGAGCAATTTTATTTTTCTAGACTGTTTCCACTTTTCCAGATGATAACTTCCCATTACAGTCCCTCGTTTTCTCAGTGGTGATATCTCAGGATGTCTCTGGTTTCTTAGTACCCACCTCAGAGGTGCAGCTGCACCCCTCATGGATCTTTCTGGCTCCCAGCTCCCAGGCTGGCAGGCATTTTCCTTTGTTCAGTGATTTTCCCCTTCTCACCAGCCGCCTTTCCGACTGCCCATGTGGCGAGGCGTGAGCGACTTGAGAGGCTGGGCGTGCAAGAGGCACCCCCAGGAGCCGGCACTCCCTGCGGTGCGCTCCACACCAGCCCCACTGCCCCTAAAACCGGTTGCTGCTGATGTGCACTCTGCCCTCAGCCTGGGCTGGGACCCCTCAACCAGGATGCCCAGGGTCTTCTCCGGACCTATGCCAGGACAAGGGATCACAGGTCCAGCCCTGCTGCCGTGGTCCACCCTGACGGTACTTTGGTCCCCACGGACAGTTGCTGACTGGTCCAGAGTGGGACGTGCCCGGTGTGTGTGCTGCACCTGTGGAGCTCCCGTGGAGCTATACCTCTGAAAATGAGACTTTCCTCATGATGACTCAGACCATCATTAGTTATAATTTACAGTTTCATTTCCTTTTCACCATTTTATTATGTGACACATTTAACTGAAGCAGTCTGAAAGTCCCCAGGAGAAAGATAATGCACCAGCGTGCGGTGGGAGAGCTGAGTCACAAATCCACTGAGAAAGTCTCTGTCCATGGCCACGTGCCGGGTTGCTGAAGCGGGCATGTGGTGTCTTGCTCAGAGATGTCTCCTCCATTTGGCTGGTCAGTGTGGCTGCATTTTGCTTTTCTGGCTGTCACGCTGGTCTCTGCATGGGTGACGGTACAGCCCTTCAGATGCTGTCAGTGGAATGAGAGCATTTCCTCCCAAACCTGTCAATGAAAAACAAATTAAAAAAGCAAACTTAGACCAATCCTACTGGCAGTCATTAAAACCCTGCGAGTTGCAGTTTCAGAAAGGCTTTCACAAGCAGCCTCTCAGAAGCTGATTTGATTGTGTCCCTTTTAATTAGCTTTTTTAAATTAAAAAAAGGGAAGGTAGAATTCAGTCTGGAGCAGGCTGAAGGGATTTCTGTGTGGTTGTCTTCGGGTACAAAGAAATGCCTTTCAAAACCTGTTCCGGGTATGACCACTTCTGAGAGTACTCAAGACTGGAAACAAATGTTAGGACAGTGTGTTGGCTGCAAACTCTGGAAATCTCTGTAAAATCGCCCTAGCTCACCTGTCACAAGCTATTGATCTGTCTGCTTTTAATGTGGTGCACTAGGCAATTGAGGGATAACTTGGGAAGAGAAAGTAACAACTTAGGAGATTCCTAGTCAAATTAGGAGCACAGAATTCCAAGCATACTGCTCAGTTTTTCTGACCTGGCTTCTCAGCACCTTGTTGCATTTCTATTGGCCTTTTCTGTAGATAAGCAGATACTTGCCCTGCCTGTGCAGGAGAGAGATATTTGGCCATGCACAATCATCCTGGTGGTTTGCCAAGCGCCCATAAACTGCTGTGTGCATTGCCTAGCAAAGCAGGAAGGCCATGGCAGGGATGGTGCACAGTTCTACGAGTACCAGCAAGTCAGATGGGAAACTGCACCCAGGGAACAAGGAATTGATGGTGTCTCTCCTACTGCAGAGTCAGAACATAATGCCTGTGCAGCAATATGGCACAGATTTTTTACCTGTTTTGCTTTGCACTTGAAGCATCGTGGGTGCAGCGTCCTTCCACCCAGGTGATATCATCTTACCTGCTGCTTCACCCAGGAAACCCCTGAGTCCCTTAATCATGCCAGCTGGCAAATACACATCTCTGAAGGTTGCAAACTTTTCTGTGTAGGGCACATTGCTAAGGTTTAGTGATCTTGGTACATCTTGGCCCTGTCTGCTCCCGTGTGTGACTGCTGGCCCTTGCTGAGACGCAAAGCTCTGTCTTGGCAGGGAAGTTAAGGGAGTGTTGCCAGCAGGGAAGAAAGTCAGTAGGTGTCACTTGTTGCAAGATTCTTTCTAACTCAGATTGCAGCACTGCATCTGTGCCTGTGTGAGCTTCTTGTATTTGTGACACCTGAACGCATATTGTGTTGGTGAGCGTGAGTTTGTTTGCTGTGGAAGGACTTCACGTCCAGGGCTGCTTTTTCTTGCTTTGTGCAATGATGTCTCCTTGTGCTTACTCTCCAGACAACCTCAGGCTATGTCCAGTTCGACAGTTGCAATTTTGAAAGTGGGCAGCTGCAGATCCACGCACCAGGGACGTGCCAGGTGAAGTTCTGCACCTTCAGCCAGTCCAGCATCTACCTCCGCAGTGTGGCCCTCTGCATCCTGGAGAACTGCGAGTTCACTGGCAGCGAGAACGCCTCTGTAACTGTGGAGGGCTGCCCGAGCTCGGACCGTAACTGGGCCTGCAAGCACCTGGCTGCGCTGGCCAAGTCCTGCGCGGCATCCGTGCGGGAGCCCGACCCAGCCGAATGCCCCGTGGCCAAGCGGGATGGCTCGGGGGAATTGCTGCTGGGGCCAGTGAGAACATGTGAGATTGTCGTAGGGGAAGAACGAAGCAGCTTACTCTCTGCTGCGGGTGCTCGAGACCTGCTTGGCTCAGCGCAGGAGGACTCTGAATTCGGAGAGAGCCTGCAGGCAGCAAAGGAGGAGGAGGAGTACCCGGTCCTTGACTCAAACTCCAGTGACAGTGACTTACACAGTGACGATGAAGAGGATGCTCAGGCTATGTACAAACTGCCCTATCAAGGCCACAGCCTGAGTCACACCCTTGCTGACATTATGGACAGCAGACTCCAAAGCAACAGACTGCATGCCCTTCAGAAGGACCTTAAGCTCAAGTCTCTGCAGGAGGAGCTGCAGCAGGACAAGGAGGCCCAGTGTTTGGCCAACTCTCTGCAAGGCTGCATCATCCGACAGTGCCTTTTCAGGGATGGGAAGGGAGGAATATTCATTTATTCACGAGGGCAAGCGAAACTGGAAGAAAGCATCTTCAGGGATCTGACCTACGCAGTGCGCTGCATACAAAACAGTAAGGTGCTGTGAAGACCGCTGTGAGCCCTCTTCCCTCTCTCTCCTGCTCCACCAGCTCCTTTCCCGTGCATGGCTTGGGTTAATGAGCTCAAATGAAAGGCGGGTCACTTGCAGCCACCTGCTTTCTGCATGCAGTAACGTTGTAATTGCAATTGGAGGCATTAACTTGGTGGCATGCTGGGGTCACGTAGTCAGGCCTGTGCTACCTGTAAATTAAACTCTCGCCCTGTAAAAGTGCTGCTGGTTGTCATCACCTTTGCTGGTCCCAGCACAGCCCATACCACAAATGCAGGGACTTGGGGACTGCGGTGTCAATCCCTTGTCTTGCCCCTCTCCATAGCCAGTCCTGGCTGCTTCAGGAGAGCCTGCAGGGGTGGGTGCCTGCCGCAGGCAGAGATGGGGTATAAGGAGGGATTTTGGCCAGGGACTTGTGCTGGAGGCTGAACCGAGCTTTTCCCTCAGCACAGCATCATCTAACCGTGTGCTGGCCTGGAGCTCTCCACCTCTGTGCCTGTGTTCCTCTTCAGACAGGGTGGTGGTGGCGGCGAGGACTGGAGGGAGAATCACACTGCCAAAATCCCCAGTTGTGGCAGCGTCGGGGGAGCTTGGGAGGCTCCTCTCCAGCCACCTGCCCAGAGCAAGAGCATCCCCACTGCTCGGCTGGGGGAGCCTAGGATTTGGGCCCATTTTTCAGTGTATCGCTTTAAAAGACTGCAAATTAAAGTTTTGTGCAGGGGGAGGAAGGGGCATGTTTTTCCACCCGGTTCTGGGAAAGGGCTTTGCTGTGATGATGCTAGCTCCCCATCTGTAGTCCCCAGAGGACTGCAGAGCACTGTTACCTGTGCAGGAACGCTTTGCTTCTTGGCAGTGGAGAACGGCTCCTTTCTTTCCAAGGGATACCCGTAGCAGAGGTGCCCTCCCAAAGGCCAACCCATAGGCGCAGAGTGGTGGCAGGAGGGAGCAGAGGCATCTCACACAGCTCCACCGTGCTGCTCAGATGCTCAGAGCTGCTCGGGGGCTGTTTTCGTGGGAGTTAGGCTGGTGGACAAATGCAGGTCCAGCACTTTGGACCAGATTCTGTTTTTATTCCCTTTGGTTTGCTTCCTGTTCGCTCAGCAGCCTGGTTTTAACTGGTAGCAAATGGGAGGGAGATGAGGCCAGCCCATCTGCGGCTCCCAGTGAGATTTTGCTCAGCTAGGAATTAGGGCAGAGGCTCTTGTTGAGAGGTGGGTGTCAGAGCATCAGGCAGTGGGAGACAGTGAAATGCTCGCCTGCGAGATGAGGGCAAGGTGCAACGCAAAGTGGGAGCACGGCAGAGCTGGTAAGGGCTCGGTGTCCTTGCACAGCCAGGACCCTCCGGCACAGGGCAAGCCTGGACCAGGGTCTGGTGTGTGGGACCCAACTGGAGTGGGTGCCTGTGTTTCTCGCCTCCTGTAGCTCCCTCCCTGGGCAGCCAAGCACGACTGATGAAGACAGGCGGCTGTCAAGCCCTGCTGAGCTCCACGTTTAGTCGAGAGATTGAATGAAGCACCTTTCTGCAATGAGCAAATAAAAGGAAGTATAATTTAATTACCTTCTGATCTGTGTTGCTCATTGAAGTGGGATGTGCAAAGGCAATTTGTAGATTATTTCTCAGCACTCGTAAGACATGGATTTAAGACATGAATTTGTTTGGCTGGAAAATATTAAAAGATTGCTGCTGCCTAAATATTTAACTACTTATTTGCTTAGAGGAAACGAGGTTGTTAAGAGTGGTGTCAGTGACTTCAGTTTGCTGGCTGGGCCATTTCTGACCCCGAATGGCAGGATCTTTGTTCTGAAGGCGCCAGGTGATGGGCAGGTCGTGTGCTGAGCATGTGTGCTGTAGTGCACTGGCCCGGTCAGCTTCATGGGAGACTCGTGGGAGTCTCTGCAGCATTTGACATGTCACCTCCGAGCAGCTCTGCGCAGCAGAGTCAGGAGGGAGCCTGTTGCCGACTGCGTACGGAGAGGATGCCGATGCAAATGGGGACTGCCTGAGCAGGGATGGGGCAGGTCTCTTGTACCACGAATGGTGTGGAGATGGGATGGGGAATGGTCGCTCACTGTTGCTGATGGTGTGCAATCGCAATGCAGTGAACGAAGCCGTTGGGCACACCTAAACGTTGGCTTTTCTCAAGCGGAGGGATGTGTCATGCCAAGAGGATATCTTTGCCCTAGCTGTGCAGCACCAAGCGCTGGGGGTCCCCATCCCCAAGCAGACCCATGCCAGTGCGTAAAGCCCAACAGGCTTAACTGTAGCACTTGTCCACACGCACTGATCTTCTTTTCATCTGGCCTGTGTGCCTGGCACACCCCAGGTTGTGGGAGAGGCAGAGAGGTCGTAGATGCACAGAGGTTGCAGAAGGGAGAACTATAACCTTTTTTCATGTCCTCAACCTTCTAACTACAACTGCAGGTGCTTCTCCTCTTCCCTGCAGGTTATCATGCTGAGGAATGACATCCACCATTGCAAAGCATCAGGGATATTCCTGCGCCTGTCAGCAGGAGGCCTGATTGCAGACAACAACATCCATTCGAACTCAGAGGCCGGAGTGGACATTCGTAAGGGAGCCAACCCCCTTGTTCTGGTACGTACCCCTCCAAACTGTGCTGGAGGGCAGCGTGCTCTTTATCTCACATGCTGTTTCTCTCCAAGGGGCAGCAGGGATCCATCTCCCAGTATAGAAACCACTGACCTTTCCATTAGCTTTGTCCTTCAGCCTGTTTCTTAGGGTTTTGTTGATGAATTAGACTACAGCTAACCCCAAGGTACAGCAAAGTGCTGCCTGACGGTACATGCATGGTCTCCTGCTCTGTTTGGTGGTATGTGTCTTAAAATTGCTGTGCACAGAGGGCAGGGTAGGGGAATGTTCCCCTATCAAATAAATACCCCTGTGTAATGAATAAACTCGTGCAAGCAATGCAGTAAATCAGAAGGTGGTAAATTGGCACTGTACTGTAAATTGTTTCTCGCATACTGGGAATCATGTTGTCTACCCTAGGAGTTGGTGGAGGGTCTTAGCGCTCTGCCTAGCCTCGGTCAGGAGGGGAGCAGCAGCCTGCTCTCCAGTGGCATGGCTTTTCCTCCAAATGAATAGTGTCTCCAGCTGTGCAGTGGGTGACCTTGTCCCTGTTTATTGAACACTATATCTGTAGTCATCCTTGAAGGAACCGGGCCCTCACTGTGCAGAGGGAGGCAGAGAGGGAGACACGAACTACCATCCAAGTGACTTTCTGGCTGCATCAAACTCTCCATGTGAGCTCTGCACAGGAGATGATGGGGCAGGCATAGCTGCGGGCCCGTGGAGGAGGAGGAGGTGGCAGCTCACCCACAGAGCCGCAGGGCATGTCTGGCCTCAGTTGCAGCTTTGAGCTGCTGCTTGTTGCTTTGCCTGGTTTGGCGATTCCTACCCCACCACTCCAGGAGATGCTGGACTGGGACTGCTGTCCTGCGCAGAGGGTCCCCATGTACCCCTGTCCTCAAGGGAGATGTTGGCCCCTGTGGAGAGAAGCAGCCCTGTGGCTGTTGCCAGTGGTCATTCAGGCTGTGCAAAGCGACGTCTAACAGCTTGAGAAAAGGCACCATGCTGTAACGCCAAGCCCCCTGCTTGGACTCCTCTGCCACCAGCTCCTGTGAGGTGCCACCGAGGGTCTTTTCCTCTTGGTGGCCATGGGGAGGTGTTGGACTTGCAGCTCCACCAGCCCTGCTCAGTGTCAGATGGGCTGTGGAGAACAAAACATCACCAGGTCCGGGGCAGCCCTTGGAGATGTCAGCAGGAGCTGCTGGAGGAAGAAGAGGCTGCAGGCATGATGGGGAGGGAAGTTAGGCATTGTGTACTAGAAGCCCAAAGAAAAGTAAAAGTTAAGTGTGCCTTGACCATTTGAGAGTGATTTCTTGGCAGCCGGATTAAATACCCTTCTGCCCTTTTCCCCAGCAGGGTTGGGAGCTGTTGCTTTTCTCTGTGGTTGCTGTCTCCTCTTGCTCACTTTTATGAGTGACCTTCCTTCCTTTTGCTTTTATTCTCTCTACATGTGCAAAATTAAAACCATAGTGCAATAAGATACACAGTGGCCTTCGCTCGGGCATTGTCGTCGTTGGCAACGGAAAAGGCATCATCCGTAGCAATCAGATCTATGGGAATAAAGAAGCTGGCATTTATATTCTGTATAATGGAAACCCTGCTGTGAGGTATGTTAGCTAGCACTGACCTCTCTCTCTCCTCCTTCATCTGTTAAGAATTATTCCTCCCACTGTGCACACTTTTCTTCTCTTTTTTTGTACCCCCACCATAGAGCAGGAATAGGCCCATGGTGCACTAGTGCCTTTCTGTGACTTTCCTCTATCTGCTTGCTGCACCCAGGTCTTTGCCAAGTGCCAGTCCTGGGTTTTCCCCCTGGATCTGAGAAGGACACAGGCTGTGTTCAAGATGAACAACTCACACATGTCATGGTGCTTTTTGCAGGGAAGGGGGAAATGGACCTCAGAACTCCAATCATTGTTACTCCAATTCAGCTTTCTGCTTTAAACACCTGGAGCTACTGAGTCGTGTCTGTTTAATACCATTTGGTTTAGATGTTAGTGTTGGTGTCTGGCAGGCTTTCTTCAGGTTGACGCCATCAGCTTTACCTGGTGGTATCAACTGGTAGCAATGAACCCAGAAATGAGATGGCAGCTGGAGCACGGTATTGGTTACAGATGTGAGGGGCATCTCATCTGTACTGCCACCCCTTCCCGCCTCTCACTGTGCCTGTGGGTGATAAGAAACAGGCGTGTGACAACTCACCAAGGTGCTATAGAGTGGAGTGTGTCACTGTCATGGTTTAACCCCAGCCAGCAACTAAGCACCACGCAGCCGCTCATTCACTTCACCCCCCACCCAGTGGGATGGGGGAGAAAATCGGGAAAAGAAGTAAAACTTGTGGGTTGAGATAAGAACAGTTTAATAGAACAGAAAAGAAGAATCTAATAATGATAACGATAACACTAATAAAATGACAAAAGTAATAATAAAAGGATTGGAATATACAAATGATGCACAGTGCAATTGCTCACCACCCACCGATCGACACCCAGTTGGTCCCTGAGCGGTGATCCCCCCACCCCCACTCCCCCCAGTTTATATACTGGGCATGACGTCCCATGGTATGGAATACCCCTTTGGCCAGTTTGGCTCAGCTGTCCTGGCTGTGTCCCCTCCAAACTTCTTGTGCCCCTCCAGCCTTCTTGCTGGCTGGGCATCAGAAGCTGAAAAATCCCTGACTTTAGGCTAAATATTACTTAGCAACAAGTGGAGAGATCAGTGTGTTACCAACATTCTTCTCATACCTAGCTCAAAAACATAGCACTGTACCAGCTACTAGGAAGACAATTAACTCTATCCCAGCTGAAACCAGGACAGTCACAAAGGGAAGAAAATGGTTGCCCTGGATCACCCCCTAGCTAGGATGTGAGTATTCATGCTAGAAGTGTTGATAATTAACAGTGCTTCACCCTCAAGTCATGCAGACCTCATGAAAGCGACTTCTTGCAGGTTCATGATTGTGCAGAGCTGGTGAGTTTTAGACAGACTGCCTGTACAGACACTTAAGAACAGGTTACTGAGGCACTTAGTCTAGGTTGGGACCTGGAGAGGAGAAGACTGCACCAGATGTACCAGCCCTGAAAACACAGGGGTCAGGGCCAGGCTTTCCAACAAGGGATTATGAAAGTGCTCTCCGAGAGATGTATTGATTTCTGTGAAAAGTGGAATTGTAGTGGCAGGGCCCAGCAGTGCAGAGGAGACATGCTGTGGGATGGAGAGATTCACAACATCTCCTTCCCTCCGTACTTTCTCGCAACTTCTTTGGCAACCCCAGCCTGCACATGACTGATGTATGACCGTCTGTGCTTGTTGGCACGTAGGAGATGATGGGGAGGAGGCAGGGAGGAAGCTCGGTGGGAAGACACTTTTTTTTCTCCTGACCAGCCGCCGGTTTGGAGGAGCCCCCGTGCTCCACTTGTGCGTGCTGCTCTGTGCTGCCTTTCATCTGTGTTGTCTTGAGGCAGGCTCTGGCACTGGTTTAGGCTGGGTGCACTGGTGTTATCCTGGTGGTGCCATGTACAGCTGTGTTGAACATGGAGCTCAACGGGAGCTGTTGGCATGGCTGGGACTCACGGAGGGGATGGCATGTACAGCTGCAGGCAGGCAGGGCTGGCAGAAGGGAGGTGTTTATGGTAGGAGTGGTGTCCTTTGCTGGGTGCCTTTTCCACAGCTGGAAACAGAATAATGTTTTGCCCATTCCTGAGAGCTGCAAGCCCAGCTCTGTCCTGTGTCGCTGCCTGGCTGGGGGACAGGTTTCGGTGAGGTGTTTCGAGGGGCTCTGCGCAAAAAGCGGGGAGGTGTCCTTCTGAGAAGTCTGCCAGCAATGTGGGTGCTGGGTACCATTTTTAAGCGTGATACAGGCCCTTGGGCCTGTATGTCTTCCAGTCAGAGGTACCCCTCAGCAGCTAAAAAGTTGTTTGGGTAAGACCACGTCCCCTGCTGTGCCGACACCAAGGCTGGGAGGTACGGGGTGTGATGGTGCCTGGTGGTGCAAGGCTACTGTCCGCTCCCCTAAGCTGGTGAGAGCAGCACTGGAGGGCACTGCTCTCCAGCAGCGGGACTTGGGCAGCTGAGACACCCCCCCACACACACACCTTGTGTTCCTGGGGGATTGCCTCTGGGATAGTTTCATGCCTTCTCTTCCTCCTTACCCTCGCAGCTGCTGGTGCAAGCGCGGATTTCAAGTACAGGCACCTTGTGCACTCTTCTCACCAGGTCCCTCTTTCTAGAGGCAGGTGGACATCTCGCTGCAGCCCACAAGCAGCTTGCTGTTCTCTGGGCACAAAGCAATAGCCTGCTTTGTCTGGCAGGGCAGTGGGGGCTTCCCTCAGCTGCCGGACCAAGTGGTCCTGCCTGAGCAGGCAGCTGTAAGCGGAGGGGGAGCCGTGCCGGGGCAGCTGAGGACAGGAGAGGCATTAGCTGGCTGACGAGGTGGAGCGGACCCCGCTCTGCCTGCAGTTGTCCCCAGGGAGCAGGACGGCAGCGTGAAGTGCTGCGACCACCCTTCCACCCCCAGCTAGCACTGGTGACGGCGCGTCGCTGGTGATGGCATGTCACAGGTGCAGCTTTCCCACCCCGGCTCACTGCTGTAGAAGCTCCTCTGCTCTGGGGAGCGGAGACGCATCCAGTCAGCGCTCCTGGGTGGATGCTGGGACAGAGTCTGTGCCAGGCACTGCGCTCAGTAGGTCGACGTGAGCTCGAGATCACCCTATAATTGCTCTCCCGCTCTGAACCTCATCAGCAAGCCGGAGACTCGGGGTCACGTGGAGGAGGAGCTGGTGGTGGGCTTGGGATTCCTGGGCTTTGTTCCTCCTGACAGGCGGTAGGTGGGAGCCCAGGGGACAGCGGGTGACTCCTCTACTCGGGCACAACAGAGCCCACACGTGCTCTCCAGACCATTGCTCACAGCGCGGGAGTTGCTCCTGCCACCGTGTTTAATGTTTGCTGCCGTCAACTGCAATCACTGTCTGCCTGCTGGCTTCAGGGCTCTCTCGGAGCAGCAGTCCCAAGGCTGAGAAAGTCTCTCACCTCCTTCCCGGGATGGGGAGGATGGGAGAAACGGGCTAAAGCCCTCACAGACTCCTCTGCGGCATCCACCTAGGTGGGCTCTGGCCACTACACGGTGTGCCTCCCATGCTTTTCTGTGAGGGCACAGGGGTCTGCAGCTTGGACCCCCTGCTCCGTGCTGCCCTCAAGGGTAGGGAGGCTGCGGCAGCCGGCCGTGCCTTTCTCCATGCCTCTTTTGTACTTTCCTCTCCTTGGAAGTGGTTCGGCTGTCAGTAGCTCCACTCTGCTTTGCATGTACCTTCCCCACTGCGCTTCCCTCTCACTGCACTTTGCTGTGTAGCCGCCCCATGCCCAGTTTTCGCTGCTGGACACAGGCAACAGGCTGTGACAAGTAGCCAGACGGGGAGACTGGTGCCTCTCCAGGGACCTGCTGCGCTTGCATTGGTGCAAACCGTGAGCAGGCAGCACTGCTGCTGGTAACTTTCTTTTCTTCTCCTACCTCAGTGGGAACCATATTTTCCAGGGACTGGCTGCTGGAATAGCAGTGAATGAGAACGGGAGAGGCCAAATCACAGGTATGGGAATGCAAATGGCGTTGTTATGCCCAGTTTGTTTCTGCCTTTAAGCCTCTGTCTGTTTGTTTGATTGCAAAATTTATCTTGTTTTGGTTCTTGGGTGACTTTAGGTGCAATAATCCCCTGGTTTGCATTTTCTAGTTGGCATTTCTGCCACTGACAGAGGGAGCATGTCTTTCCGCAGTGTGTCCTCCAAATTATTGTTCCCTTTGTCTCTGGCCCAGCTGGCATGTGGAACTGTGCTCCAGAGCAACCTGCCATATGAACTGCTTTTTTTTTCTCCTCCCGTGCCACCCAGTTTATAAGCTAAAGCTGTCAGTGACGTTTTCCTACTGTTGTGGAACCTCCGAGTGGTTTTCCACTCTGCCCTACACCTCAGAGGACAGGGACATAGCAGTTACTAGAACTGCTAATGACCAGTGTCCTGTGCGGGAGGGCATTGCCGGGGAATGGGGGAACGGGGACGCTCCTGAGGCTTGGGCTCTGCCGCAGGTGATGGGAGCTTCTCGGTGGGGCCAGGTCTCAACTTGCCAGGTCTCCTTGCTCTTCCGTGGGCTGGAGGCCTGTGTGTGGTCACCTCATCTTCCCTGCTTGGCCCTAGGGAATGTCATCTGCGAGAACCAGTGGGGCGGTGCGGACATCCGCCATGGGGGCGACCCCGTCCTCAGGAAAAACCTCATCTCCTGTGGCTACTCGGACGGCGTGGTGGTGGGCGAGCGCGGGAAGGGCCTCATCGAAGGAAACGCCATTTACGGTAAGGAAGCAAGCTCAGGGGAGAACGATTCTTGTCTTCTCCCCTGTCCTCTTGGGCTTGCCATGCTGCCTTCTACCTCTGGTGCACTCTGGAGCTGTGGTGGGTGCCCAGGAGGGGGCTGGTGGGGCATGCCCAGGGGTCTTGTCTCAAAAGCAGCGTTCGGTACCTGGTGTGCAATAAGCCAATCTTACACATAGAGCTGGGATATTTATTTAATTCACGTCTGTGCAGAGATGAGTGCTAGGTGATAGTTCCACAAAGCTAGCACACCACACCAGAGAACTACAATGTATTTATCCTGTTATGTGATTAGTAAAAACCTGCCTAGATTTACATTCAGTCATTAGTAGTCACCATCTCGTCTACTGTTGGTTAGTTGTATTTAAATTAGCCTCACTCGCTGTGTAAAGTAGCAAGCATGCTCCTTGCAGGTGTGGGTGGGCAAGTCTTTTTGGTCTTGAACTGAGTCGGTGGTTGCGATCTCCCCCTGCTGCCTTTACTTTTCCTCCAGTTCATGCTTCTTTGGCAATCATCCGGCTTTTGGCACCTTCTGGAGCAGGATGTTTCCTTCTTACCAGTCTTCAGTTCCTCTTCGAGCGTATAGTCCTTAGCAAAGCATGGCCTACACAATGAAGCTACTGATTAATGGTCATCCTAAATCAAGCAGTGTCACTACGACCTAGACATTAACCAACATATGGCTTTACTTAGTCTACGTTTTAGCTAAAATCAGATTGCAAAATCGTATTTTACAACTATGCAGACAACTGTTCAGCAGCATTTCCACATAAAATACTTCTAATGCTAAACTATATAAATTACCCAGCCTACAGGAGGGAGCTGTGGTGTGTGCCCAAGATGCTTGGCTGGGAACAGCATCAGGCCCAGCCCAGCACAAGCACTCCAGAGCTTGTGCCACCAGTGCTGCTGGGCTGCGGCTCATGAGGCGCCCCTCTTCCCACTGAGAAGACCACCACTTTGTCTCCAGTGGAGGGCAGGAGCTTCCCTTTTGAGCCCTGAGAGGGAAAATGGCTTTGCACCATCGCTCTCGTGCAGGACAGGGTTGCAGGAGAGGACGCACGGTTCCCACGGGGCAAGGGGAGCTGCGTCTGCTCCTGTCCTGCACCCAGCTAACCCAGGGCAGGAGGAGTCTGGCAGGGTCTGTCATCTAACAACTGGGCTAATGTCTAACAGGGCGTAAATTCCCCATGTGATTTTCTCAGGAAACTGGAAATAGCTTTTTAAAAGGGGTTTTAAAGTCGCTGCGGAGAGACAAGTGCTGCAGAGAGCCCACTGCTGCCAGGGCAGGGATCTGAGTCCTGGAGGGGCTGTGCCCTTCTCTGGTCCCATTTAGGACTGAGATGGGATGCAGCCAGTCACGTAGCATGGCTTTGTGTGCATCTGTCTGTCCATCTGTCCCACTAGTAATGCTGGAGGCAGTGGTAGCCAGTAGTGCTGGTGGCCAGCGTCAGCCCCTCGCAGTGAGGGTAAGGTACACGGATAGGGAGTTCCCAGAGGTTTTTGGAACAGCAGTGGACCGGGCACGAGGAGGGTGGTCGTAGGGCTCAGCCACCCTGGGGGCGGTGAAGCCGCAGCTCAGCCTGCATATTAGACACTGGAGAACACACCTGAGCTCCCGAGGCCAAGCCTTGGGGAAACCCAGCTCAGTGCTCCTGGACCTGCTCGCTCCCAGTCCTGGAGGAGGAGAGACCAGGGCATGTGGGCTTCCAGCACTGCGGCTGCCCATCTGCAGCAAAGCCACTTGTGCGTGGAGCCGGTGGACGGGGCTGTGCCCGACCATCATAGAATCATAGAATCATTTAGGTTGGAAAAGACCTTCAAGATCATTGAGTCCAACCATCAACCATGCCCACTAAACCATGTCCTGAAGAAGTACCCCATCTACTCGCTTTTTGAATACCTCCAGGGATGGTGACTCAACCACTTCCCTCGGCATCCTGCAGAGCCCCAGGGCAGTGGGGGTTTGCCTCCTGGTTGCGTAAGTTAAACGAGGGGACTTGAGCTGGGTTCAGAGCATGGACAGTGTGAAGAGGGGGTAGAAGTGGGGAAATGAAGGCACTGAGCTCGTGGACTTGAGTTGGCCCAGTGGGACCAAGTCAGGGCCAAAGAATCTCTGTAAGCCCCTGACATATAGGGTTAGCCTTCATGTGTGCTCAAAGAAGAGGATCGCCTCCATCCCACCTGCACTGCACATAGATTACCAGCTGCTTTGGGGCAGGGCTGAGGGTCTCCAAGCTAAGTTGGTGGGCTATGCCACCCCGCACTGCAGGCAACAAGGGCTGCGGCGTGTGGATGACGTCCTCCAGCCTCCCGCACCTCATCAACAACCAGATCAGCCACAACAGCATCTACGGAGTGGCGGTGTTCTGCCGCAAGGACGACGCTGGTGACTACCCCCCCAGTCAGGGGGGGAGTGAGAACTTCCAAGAGGAGAGGGAAGGTCCTGGCGGGGAGAACGACCCCAACAGTGAGGAGGAGCACCCGGCTGCCCGGCGTCCCATCAGCGTGGCGCTGGTGGAGTTGAACAGCATCAACCACAATGGAGGTGAGCTTGGAGGTCCGGGGGTCTTCCTGGGCTCCAGGAGAAGGGGTGGTGTGCTGAACGGTGTGTTGTCTTGGCCCACGAGCGCTGGCATCTGCCTCAGCTGCCACTAGGCCAGGAGCACCCTGGAGAAACGGTGGGCTGAGACCTGAGCGTGAGTGGGTTTTGGTCCTTAAGCTCTGTGTCAGAAAGTCGTATCGTGGCAGAAGAAACCGGGTAGCTGTTAGAAATAGAAAGACGTTTGTGGTCATCACAACTGAGGCTCCAAGCTCTTAACTGGTAGCTCTTCTTTTTTGGTTGGCAGCTGCTGGGTTGCACGTCAAGAGCAGCGAGGCGCTCAACATCATCGCCAACGTGATTCACGCCAACCGCGACGGCGGGGTGGCGGTCCTGCAGAGCAGCCAGCTGACGCGCATTGCGAACAACAGCATCTCCTGCAACAGCCGGGGAGGCGTGCTTGTCGAGGCCGAGTGCCAGGTGGAGCTGCGTGGCAACGGCATCTATGAGAACAGCAGCCACGGTATCATCTCCAAGGGAGAGGGCATCATCATGGAGAACGACATCATCGGCAACCACCGGTGTGGCCTTCAGCTGCTCCAAGCAGCGGACATGAAGGTGCGTCCTGCAGAGAGCTGAGGGGGGGGCACCGGCTTGTGCCTCCCTACGGCCAGGGGCAGAGGCGAGACAGAGCCTGCTGCTGCCGCCCTCCCACCTTGGGTGAGGGGGAAGACAGTTAGCAAGCCCCCAGTTAGCCAGCAGGACAGGAGGGACCGCCCTGGCATTGCCAGCAGGAGGAGCAGACAATCAGGTTTGCATCCTCGACCCTGTGATTAGAGCGGGGTGTGATTTCCAGGCTTCATTAGAATTGTGTCCAGCTGATCGAGGAAAGTTGTCCCCCATCTCGTTTGGCATTGGGAGGTGCACCTGAAATGTCGTGTCCAGTTTGGGACCTCTAGGTCAGGAGGGAGGTGGAGTAAAGGGAGAGGGTCCATGGTAGAGCTACCAGGGTGGGCAAGTGCTGGGACATGGCTGATGGGATGAGGCAGAGGGAGCTGGGCTTGATTCGTCTGGCAAAGAGGAGGCCAAGGGGGACCTAACAGCAGCCCACAGCTACCTGAAGGGCCATCAGAGCCAAGCCCTTCTCAGCAGTGCCAGACAGTACAACAAAGGTCAACAGCACAACTTGTAGTGGTCCCTGGGCACTGGGAGGTCCAGGTGGGAGACTGGGGGACCCTTCTTGCCTTGGAGGGTGGTGCAGCCCTGGGAGAGGTCACAGAGCAGTGTGGGGTCACCATCCTTGGGGGTTTCCAAGCCTTGGCAGAAAAAAGCCAGGGCTGCTCTGATCTAGTGCTGTAGACAGTCCTACTCCAGAGCTCCCTTCCACCAGCTCTCCTCAACTCCAGTTTTTTCGTGGGCAGTCACTGGGAATGGGCTGGAGGAAAGTCAGCAGAAATTGTTTGAGGGGAGACATAGGTGGGAGTTAAGTAAGCATTTGTTTTTAATAGGGCCAGCAGTGCAAAACTGGAATGCATTGCTCAGAAGAAAGTGATGTTTCCATCCCTAGTGGGTTTGAAGTGTGTCACATCCTAACATCCATCAAGAGAGGTTTAGAAGTGCTCTATAGGGCCCAAAGGGAGGAGGTGAGATCTCCCTAACCTCAGCATTGTTGGGTCCATGCTTATTATTGCTCACATGCAGCAGGAAAGCACACATGCACCAGCAGAGCTGGCCACGCTGCCCCAGAGCACTCGGTGCCCACAGTGACAGGAGTGTGAAAGGAGGTCTGTTAGCAGCAGCTGCTTTTCAGATGGGCAAGCACATGGGGGAAGGACTTCTGCAAGCTCACGCCATTGCTCAGTGGCAAAGAGTAAATTTTGGAAGTCCTGTCTCAAGGCTGTATCCTGTTTGACAGTGATCCACAGGTGGCTCGTCACATCTGTCTGATGTTTAAACCTTGGTAAAGGACAGCTCAGTCATCATTTCCCACATGCGGATTCACAGATAGCTTGTAGATGAGACCTCTATTCCCTCAGAGCAGCAAAGGGAATCCTGTGCATTTTGGTGCAATGACGTTCGACAAAGTCCATCTTCTCCCAGGCTTGTCCCCTGTATCTAACTGAGTGGCACAGTCAAGTGGGTGATCCTGTAGGCCTCTTGGAGATTTGCAGGCTGTGTGGGCTGTGCTGAAGAACTGGATTTATTTGAACTAGATTTTTTGGAAGTTAGATGCAGTGTTCCAGCATCTTGCCAGTTCCCAAGGTTAATACCTGGCTCAAGGTTGCCTCCGTTCTGTTCTTTGTTGAGGTGAAGCCATTGGGCATCAAAATGATAGATAAATGCAATTTAACTCATCGTCAATGACCCCTAAAATGAGTATACAGAAAGCCCCGCCAAGACACATCCTCTGCATGAGTCCTGCAGGGGCTGCAGACTCCTTTTGAAAACCATGCCTGTAGAAAAACATTGTCCTCTGGACCAGAAGGTAAAGACCACTGAATTTTCTGTGGTGCCAGCTGTCCAGTTTCCTGGAGCACACAGGCAGGACACATATTGCAGGGTTCATTTGGGGAGCGGAGCAGGGGCCATAGGTCCTTGTTGAAGTACTGGCGATGTCGTGGTGCTGTTGTTTCTCATCTGCCCACTGGCAGAGCCCGAGAAATGCCTGAGAGCAGGTGAGATGATGTGCGGTACTGGGTGGGGAGAAGCGCTGGGCAAGGAGCATTGCAGCATCTGTTGCTGTGGATCCAAGGAGGAGAAAGGACCAAACTGATCTTCCAGATGGTGGCAAAGCAAGAGCTTGTCTTTCTTGGGAAGAGGAGACTCCTAAGTGCTCTTTTTTCATATACAAAGAAGTGACAGCCTGTAAGTCCAGCTGTTTGAAAGCTGAAGGGCAAGGAGCAGCAGCAGGTTCGTGTTTAGCAGCTTCTGTGCTTGTGTTTCACCTCGGGGTTGAGTACCAGCTTCAGGGAAGCCTGTAGCATCTAGCACTGACAGCAGCTGAGCTGCCAGCTGGGGCCACCAGTAATGTGTAGAAGGTCTTGGGAAAGCTTGTGTGCGCATGGCTATGGCGCATCCAGTCTGAACCCTTGGTATGCTCCAAAACTGCCAGGGAGTGCTAGTGAGCCTGCAGAAGGGCTTTGGTGTTTGGTTTTGTGTTGACTAAAGAGCCCTTTGAACGGTGTCCTGCTTGGGCCATCCCATCTAAAGCTTATTTTGCAGGTGACAAAGAACAGGATCCAGTCCTTTCAGGACTATGGGATTGCTCTCTTTGATGAAGCCAAAGGCCTGGTGCAGGAAAACCTCATTTTCCAAGGGAGATCCAAGAAATCCATTTTGCGGCTGATGTCAAATGCAGAGGATTGCATCATCCAAAACAACATGCTTCTCACCTTCAAGAAAAGGTGAGGTCCCTGGCACCATGGGGTGCAGTTGTGAGCTTGGAGCCACTGCTGTGCTCCTGTGTTAAGCAAGCACTGGAGGGGTCTGCTTTTGTAGCTTCCCACACCCACTGACCCGTGGCACCAGCCTCACTTGCGTGGTGAACCACACTGCAAGTGAGGACTGCAGATCAAGCAGAGCTGAGATGCCTCTCACTGGATACCTCTAAAACCAGCTGAGGGGCTTGGATTATTCCTTGACAAGCCAGTGTGGGTCTTCACGATGTCTCTCAGCATAGGGACATCTGCCTGAGCTCATTTTCCTGCCCAGTGCTGCCTTTGAAGCCTGGCTGCTGAGTTTGTGTACTGCACTGCTGTCCCTGCAGTACGGACAGCCCTGGGGTGTTGGTGGTCTGGGCCATGAGAGTCAGAGGTAGGAAGAAAAGCCAGAGCCACCCCCCGCCTGCACTGTGCTTTTATGCTGGCGGGGAGGAGGTTGGCTTCAGGCACCAGATTCCACCTCCAGGCTTTTGCTACCAGAGCAATGTGAATAATGAATGGGAAAATGGATCTTGACGTGCTTGTTTTTCCCTGACGTGATTTAGCTACCCTGGTATTTGTGCCAGTAGAGAGAGAATGTGTCTTCTGGTGGTCTTCAGAGGTGCCGCTGTAGCTGCAGACCTTTAATGGGTATTGCAAAGCTTTTCTTAGCTGCTGGCTGTCACCCAGATCTCAGTGACTCTCATTGTTATAGGCCTTGTTCAAAACAGGTCGCTCTAGACCAGGAGTCTGCAGCAGATGCCTGAGGAGGGAAAGCCAGAGCCCTGTCACCCATACAAGGGGTGGGTAATGAGGGGATTGTTCTTTTTAGCTAGAAATTTGACCTTGACTCTTCTCTCGGGGTCACAAATCTTGGTCCAGGGTGTGGGAGAGGACACAGTGAAATTGGAAGACTTGCATTACTGGGGGGAGGTTAGGACATGTGGTCCCCCAGGTTGATGATGCTCTCACTTGGTCCTCTAGACTCCCATAGCATGAAAGTCAAGTGCACTAGAGAGGACTCTCAGCATCTCCTCCAGTGCCCTTCGCACTACGATTCCTCCATTAGGTTTTCAAATCTGGCCCCCTTTAGGCAATTCTTGGGAGGTCCCAGCATTGACTCTCCTTCTGCAGGCTCTTGCTCCATCTCACAGAACTTGCAGTCAGTTAGAGGTGTTGGCTGTGAAATCACAGAAAGTAGTTTTTGCAGTAGAGCAAGATGTTCTGTCTCAATTCTCCAACCATTTGTGTTTTGGAACATATGTCGCGTGGTGAGCATTGTGCACCTGCCAGCACTGCTCTGCCCCTTCCCTCCTTGAAGGGTGAACCTCAAGGGAGTGTTTCTAAGGCTGCTCTGGAAGCACCGTTTCACCCCACTCATGGGGTGTCTCTCCTTCTCCCAGGTTTGATATGGAGTGCATGCTGATCAACCCCCCAGCACGGCCTCACATCGAAGGAGGTGCCCTGGGGTCCTGCGCGGCGGCTGGTGGTCAGAGGGTTTCCAGCATAACCACCAGGGTGGATGGGGGCTGCCACAACCACGGGAGCATCTTCTGCACCGTTCTTTGACCAGGGAGGGAGGTTTCACCAGTCTCTCCGCCTGTCTTTTCTCTAGAGCTGCCGCTGGGAAGCTCTACCAGCTCAGGAACAGGGACCCCCATTGGACTGTACTCCTTTTTCATGAAGGATTTTGCAACTTCAGTGGCACCTCACTAAATAAAAAAATAGCTGGGAAAACAGCCATTAATGTCTTCCTCTTTGCCCACTGAGATCGCCGATGGGTTAATTTATAAGTGAGCAGTTCCTTAGATGAATTTGCCGGGCCTCCCCAGCCTGAGGTCCAGACAAACCTCTCTTCCTGTGGGGCCCTGCAGCATTATTTATTTGGGAATCACTTGCTTTGAAGCTTCTTTGTCAGTGACCATCTGCATTTGTGCTGGAAGACTGCGAGACTGACAACATGTCCTGTGTGGTCTCGCTCAGTTTCTGTTTGTGCTGCTTGTGATCAAGAAGGGGCACACAGATCAATGCAGACAGACGTACGCACAGATATACATACATGCGATGTGGGTCCCTCCAGCAACCGGGGTCAGATACTGTCTGCCCAGTCCCTGCCCCTGTGTCCCAGTGTCCCCAGTTTCTGGCTCCAGGACATACAAGCCTTCAGAGGCTGCAGGCTCGCCCCAACAGACAGACACACACACAGAGACAGGCAGACAGAGTTCCTGGGCTCCCAAACCACTTCACCTCCTCATTGGTAGCAGCCCCACACAGATGCAGATCCCACCACACCACCGATGCTGGCACCCACATCGTAGGGAGAGCCCCTCACCCCAGGAAGAATTAGAAACAACGCTTGATGAGCGAACAGGACAGACTGCACTCGTCAGGCGCAGGCACGGCCAGACCAGCATCTGTCCTTGGCCACCGGCCACCCGTTTACACACAATGGGCCACTTTTTATCCCCTTATCCCTCTGTTTTCCCATCTCTGTTCTTCCAAAACCATGTTGATGCCTGTGTTTCCCTACATTTGGTTCCTCCCCTGGGCATCCTGTAATAAGCCATGTGCAGTCCCGGAATGCTCTCCCCCTGTAATGTGTCCTCTACCCCTGGCAGTGACTCCTGGGTCTGTGAGGTGCTCAGGAGAGGGTGGGTGTCCCCCAGCCCATGGGGCTGAGCTCCCCTGGGCACTGGGAGGAACTGGGCAGGGGCTCGTGGCTCTGTGGGTGTCACTGGGGATCCCCCCACTGGCCTCTGGGGCTTGGGGGTCTTGCTGCAGGGAGAGGGAGGCTTGCATGCCATAACCTCGCATGACCAGCTAGCAGTTTCTGCCTTGTCATCCTCCTCCCTGAAACTGGCTGTCGGTTCCCAGCTGGATTTTCTTTGTCTTGTTCACATAACAAGCTGTCCACGCAGATTTCTCCTCTAATACAAGCTGGCATAACTCTGTTGCACAGACTGATGTCATCTGCTGCCTCTCTGCAGGCTGATGCTGTAAGAAGATCTGGTCCTTTTTTTTTTTTTTAAAGGACAACTACTATTTTCTATAATTTCAGGAAAACGGTCTGCCACAAATAAAAATGCTATATTTTAGAAGTTGTCTACATTTTAGTAACTGAGTTGCTTTCCAAACTGAGTGAAGTTTTCCAGAGTGGCTTTTGGGGTGACCCTTCCAGAAGGGGCTTGTTGCACTGCAAGGCCGTGGGATGCAGCCTTGCCCACGAGACGGGCACTTGGCAAGCTCGCAGCCTGTGTTGAAGCATGGAGGGTTTCATATGCACAGGAGTAGGTTTAAAACCAGAGGTCAGTGACAGCGTTATAAGTTGGTAAATCTCTGCCTCTAGCTATATATACATTACTTCTGGGTGTACAGTCCAGAGTCATCTTGAACCACTACCAAAGGAAACCTTTTACCATTAGAAGACTGCCTGGTTTTTTTTATTTTGGTACTGTATGGGCACTGAGTTGGTCAAAGGCCTGATTTGCCTCAGGATAAAGGCAAACCTGACCTAGCACAAGCCTTCAGAGACCAGCACATCCAAAGCACAAACTGCCAGTCGCTGTTCTCTGGGCAGCGTGGGAGGAGATGCACACACTGCAAGGAGAGCCGAGGATGGGTGTCTCGTGAGATGACCGTGGTGGAGCTGAAGTAGATTTAGGGAAATAGGAAGATTAGACCCACTGGGGCATTGCAGGGCAGTCCTTGCTGTGGTGCTGCCACTCGGGAGGAGACAAATTTCAGGGAAGGAAGGCTTGTAGCTCCTAGCTGAGACCCACCCTCCAGCTGATAACAGGGTTCGTTTGCTTGATGGATGGTCCTGGAACAGGATCCAGCAGTAGAAGTAGCTGGCAGTGGTAGTGGGAGAGATGCCAATACGCAATGTACCTGTATGTTACTGGCTAAGTGGCAGGAGAGGAATGAACGCACGGGTTGGTAGCAGGAATGGGTGTGTGGGAAGGATGCGAGAACCCAAATTTGGGCTGCAGGGCCTCCTGCAATCCCAGAGTCCATGTAGCGCTCTCTGCAGTACTGCCTGTCTTGTGTACAAAGGCACGGATCTGATACCGAAAAGCCGCTCGAAGAAACTCTCTAAGACTCATTTTGGAGTTTTAGAAAGCAGGCATTCTTTACTGCAGCGCTGGGTGCACGGCGGATAATTCCACCTAGCGTGCATACCACAGCTTTAGCACCAACAGGTTATATAGAATAACTAATTGCATATTAATCAGATTAGTATACATCATATACATTAAAATGATTGCAACTGATTGTCATAGTACTGCCTACATCCAATCATGCGCAATGAAGGATCCGTCTGAGTTGAAGGGCTGCTTTTGCAACCACCGACCCATTTGAAGTTCTTGCTGGCTGTCCTTGAAGTCTTTATTCTTGTCCTTGCTCTTTGATCTTGAAGCTTAATGCAGTTTCAATCACACGTGGCCAATTTCAACATTGTTCTCATCTAGTGTACAGGAACATCTCGTCATAATCACAAAGAACTGCAAAACTTAGGAGTAACTACCTCTACTAGTTAATTGCTTGGCTATACTTTTGTCTGTTGTTTCAATCATAGTGTTAGTATAAGATTTCTAATAATTATTTACCAAATCTCACTTTTACAGTCACCTAGCAGCAAACCAGTTTCCACAGCTGGTACAAAATATTAAAACCATCAAAATATTTAGACATACCATACAGAACGTATGGAAATATGCTATCAGATCCACAGTCTTGACATGCAGGGGGAGCATGACCCTGGGGAACCTTTAGAGATGGGAGAACTGGGAGAGGAAGGGTGGGCTGTACATGAGTCAGGACAAAGCCAGGCTGCTGGTCACGGTGGTGTGTTTAAACTGGAAGTTGCCAGAAGGTTGGCATGCCTGCAGAAGCACCTGGAAATGTTCAGTGCTACTCTGAAAATGCCTGTAGGAAAATAAACAGCACAATCGCAATAGGTGTGGAGGCTCAGAATGTTCACATTGGTGGTTACTGCCACACAGAAGCTGTAGCAGCTGAACTTGCACATACTTCTAAGCCAATGCGGAGAACCTCAAAAGATGGGGAACCTGCAGTCCCTGGGGCTGCCTGCAGTGGCCTGAACCCTGGGGTTTAGGAGAACATCTTTCTGTTCAGGCACTTCCCAGAGGCTTCTGAATCTCATCAGCCAGACCCAAAAAACCCCAAACAAACAAAAAAACCCAGTGAGATTTGGGATCTTTACAATAGCTTTCATATACTCTTAATTCTGTGCTTTTTGCACTTTGGAGCAGCAAAATGCCCCATGGAGGATCCACATGCTGTCAAGCAGGCATACAGAAAATTGTTCCCAAAATACACGTAGTTGAACTTACTTCACATTGCAGAATATGAGCAAGCAGTTAATTTCAATATATGGAGTAAGACCTGGTCATGTGATCAAGTATCTTCAAACTTTTGACAGGCTGAGCTGGAGGTACGGAGTTCAAATATTGTCTTCAAATATTAATATTTATACTATCAATCATTATGGAAAAATCCAAATGTTCATACTGACTTCATCGTCACAAAGAAAGCAAAAATAAAATTTGCTTTCCCAATTAATCTTTCAATTTTATGTTACATATACTTAAGACCCTAACTGCTCGGTACAGTTAAGACTTTCAGACACAAAATCAGAAAATAGTATTCTCTTCTTGTGTGGAGAGAATTCAGTGGGTGCTCATTAATCAGTTTTCACTGGTGTTAATTAATTATGAAATGTTTCATGTTCTTGTGTTACAGTGGATAGTTTATGGAGCATAATGGAAGCAGCACGGGGTGCTGCTGTACTTGTGCAAACCCCTAGTCCAAGTGCTCGTTGTGACACAGTGGGTAACAGCCCCCCTGAGCTGGCAGGTTGCTGAAGGCACAATCTGGAGCTCTGCTGGCTTTCTCACCACCTGAACATTGTGCAAAGCTAGCGCACACACATGACCCGCACGGCCACTTCTTGGCACAGCACAGACCTCGCATTTTGCTTTGGTCAAAGAGCTCATTTGTCTGCTTGTGAGTTAATTAGAGCTCATTTCCAGAAAGGCAGCATGGGCGAAAGCTGAGTGCCTCCCTGCTGCTGCGCCTGTTCTGCTGTCTGTGCAGGTACCACTTGTGAGAGAATATGCCAACATTGCTGAGAGAAGCTGACTCCCACCCAACACTGTCCTACAGAGCCCCATGCTTTTAGGTGCGAGAAAGAGCCTGCGCTCAGCCCAGTTCACAGAACCTTTTATCTGGTGACCAGACACCTTATCAAGAGGACTACAACGTTGTCTGTATGCTAGCGAAGTACTGGCGTGATCTCGGGGCAGAGGAGCAGCAGTGAGAGCTCATCACCTTCAAACCAGGCAGCCGTAGGAGCCTCCCTGCTCCTACGGGAACATGCTCCCACTCGGACAAGGATGACAATGCAACCCGTCATCGGTCCTGGATCATCTCCTTCTGTGCTGGCTCAGGCGTGCCCATGCTGCCCGGCTATGGCGTGCGTTTGCGAAGGTGTCAGCTGCAGGCAGGTGTGGTGTTTTTGCAGCGTGGGCTCAGAGACATTTAGTGGCAGTCCAATGAAAGCCGCAGCCATGGCCGTCCCGCTCCTGGCCAGCCTGTCCGTGTGGCACCGTGCTCTGCTGAGGGTTAGCATTCTCTAACTTGCGGCTGCCATGCCTGTCAGTCTCCCACAGGGCAACCTGCACGTGTGCCTCTGGAGAAAAGTGCACAGCCCCTCTCCCAGCCTGTCTTGCACTCTCAATGCCCAGGATGTGCTCTCAAGCAAGGTGACCCCAGAAAGTTGAGCGTTAGTAAACCTCTCCTCATTTTGAGCAAAGCATCTTTCCCCACTGCTACTGGATTTCTCTTTTCAACCTTTCCTGTTGTCTCCCAGGGACCCATGCACCTACTCACACCCCCCTCTCCGTGATGTGGATGAGAGTACTTGACCGGGGGCTCCGAGTCCCTCTAGACAACCTACATCTTGCTTTGGTTCACACCCGGTGAGAGTCCCCTGCCCAGGACCTGCCTCCAGCCCTGTCCTGCCTGCTTCAGTGGGGGCTGCCCAGTGCTGGGGGGCATCTTTCTGGCCTCAAGACAGGATTTCTGGTCCCCTTCCCCCACTGCCACATCCCTGCCTTGGCACTTCTTTCTGTATAGTGAAGAACTCCACTTGTGTTATCGGGAAGGCAAACAGCTGCTCTCCAAAGTGCAGCGGCTAATACTGAGACACATTGCAGATGAGTCATTCTCCTATTTGGACTAAATTTGCACTCATTTTCCCCGAATCAGGGGTGCTGCTCTCAGATACAGTCAGAACAGGCTCTGCTGCACACAGCAGTGATGTCAAAAGGCCATTAACATCCTCATCTCTGCTGCAATTGGCTACAAATAATGCAAAAGAGCATCACTTCTTGCTCAGTTGGTTGGGCAACCACCTCTGCTTTCTACTTCTCTTCTCACCTTGGCACACAGAAACAGCTTTGCAACAGCAGTTAAATTTTTCATCTAAAAAACCCATGGCACCATCAGGGTGACCCACATCTCACCTCCTCATGCCCCGTATCAACCATCTGAAACACAGCAGCAATGAGCTAAAATTAGATAAAGAGGATAAACTAATTATTATGGATCTCAGAGTAGTGCTTCATAGCAGTTTAAGTCACAGCTGCTGGCTCTGATACGCAGAAAACCAGATCCTAATGGGAATTAAAAAAAAAAACACCACAAAAAGTGGTTTCAGCCAGATCACCTCCCTGAGCACATTCACTCTACTTGAAGACTGGAGAACAAGGCCTGGGTAAGTCAGAGGCTTCCAAAGTTCAACATGTGGAAGTGCAGAGTCCTGCACCTGGGGAGGAGAAACCCCATGCACCAGGACATGCTGGGGGCTGCCCAGCCAGAAAACAGCTTGGCAGAAACAGACCTGGAGGTCCTGGTAGACACTGAGTTGAACATGAGCCAGAAACATGCCCTTGCAGCAGAGGCTAACCGTGTCCTGGGTGGCATTTAGGAGGAGCATCTCCAGCAGATCAAGGGAGGTGATCTTTTCCCTCTGCTCAGCACTGGTGAGGCCACACCTGGAGTGCTGTGTCCTGTTCTGGGCTCCCCAGTACAACAGAGACATGGACATACTGGAGACAGTTCAATGAAGGGCAACTAAGATGCTGAAGGGACTGAAGCATCACTCCCGTGAGGAATGGCTGAGAGAGCTGGGACTGTTCAGAGCCTGGAGCAGAGAAGGCTCAGGGGATCTCATCCATGTCTATAAATACCTGAAGGGAAGATGCCAAGAGGATGGAGCCAGGCTCTTTCGGTAGCGCCCAGCGCCAGGACCAGAAGACACAGGCACTCACTGAAACACAGGAGGCTCCCTCTGAATATCAGGAAACACTTCTTTACTGTGAGGGTGGCCACGCACTGGCACAGGTTGCCCAGGGAGGTTGTAGAACTTCCGTCAGTGGAGATACTCGAAAGTCAGCTGGACATGGTCCTGGGTACCTGGCTGTGGGTGGCCCTGCTTGAGCAGGGGGACTGGACAAGGAAAACTCCAGAGGTCCCTTCCAACCTCAACCATTCTGTGATAAAAACATTCCTACTGATTATCTGCAGCCTGTAATTCCCATGGCATTAATTATCCTCTACCCAAAAAACTGGATGTTTGTGTCACTTCTAATGAGAGCTGAGAATAGTGGGTCATTAAGGGGTGTAAGGAGTTATCCTTAAATCCCAAAATGATGTACTAAACACAAATTACTACCTGAAGCAGACACCTCAAAGAGAAGACTGGTCTTGACATCCCATGCTCCTATTTCACATAAGCTTTTTCTCTTGGAGGCGATCCTTAGCTTTTCAGAAGCCTCGGACTCCTACAACCTTGCATAATGAACACCTGCAATGAGGCTTACAGCCCAGAAGCCCAGGACTAGAGTGAAAATGCAGAGGAACTAGCCCAAAAGTCTCTCTCCCAAGGACTGGGAATCCACAGCTGTGGATTCAAACTAATCACCCTTTCCAAAGATGAACCAGCTCTGACTCAGCAGAATTCTCCCTCCTCCAGGCAAGAAGCCAGGATAGGAAAAGTGGCAGAAATATTTTGTGTTGCATCTTTATACTTTTTGAACACAGAATTACACTGGAACTCTAGAGAAACAAACACACCCAGAGCCAAGAAGTTGTGTGTAAGCAATGGTTTGCTTAGTCTCTCTCCTTCTATGCTTTCTACCCTGCATGTGTGAAAAAGGGGTAAATTGGGCCACAAGCCAACAGGTCATTTCCAGAACCGACCAGACAGTAGTCAGTGGAGGACCTGCAGTTTCCAACCATGTTCTCTTGCTCCAGCACAACCTACATCTTTCTCCCCTCATACAGACAGGAAAAAAGAAGAAGGTTTTATCATAGCTTTTTCTACATAAATAGAAAAAAGAAGCAGTTTAATAAGCTGAACATCTATTCCAACCCAGCCTTGAGACAGGGCTTCAGCAAGGTCATATGCTGATGCTGGACAGCCAAATCCAACAGACAAAAGCATCCCCATGATGCTCTGTGTGCAGAACGGCAGTTGAGAAAGGAACTGTTTTGCCCCTGCTCAGACCTCCCAGACATTTCAGTTCATTTTCTTGCGCTTCCGTTGGCTCCCTGATGACTTCTGCACAGGCAAGGGGAGAGAGAGAGTGCCCAGCTTGTGGTTCTGATCATTCTCAAGTCCCAGCAGCCCCTTTGCCTTGGAGACCTTCAACCGCATGGCCCTTGCAATGTCCATCATCCTGGAAAATAGAGAAACACTGTCTCAGTGGGGCACAAAAGTCTTCTGTACCATGACACTGCACAAAATATCAACAGCCTTTTGCCTCAGGGGAGAAGCCAGGAGGCACCAGCAAGCAGGATGTGTTCTCTGCATCTCAAGGATACCATGGAGACAGAAGCTGGAAGGTATTCAAAGACTACAAGCTACAGCCTTCCTGAGGAGGCTAGAATGCTACCAAGCTGTGCACCACCACCTTGGACAGCAGTCCAAACCCATGCTGCCTTATTCAATGGCCAGCTGACTTGAGAAAAAAATAAATGCTGCTCTCCACTTCCCTATGAAGAGAACAGGCATTATTTGTATCTAGCTGCTGCTTCCCAGTGTACTCATCTCCCATGTGTGGTATGATGAATGGAACCTAGTACAGCAAGAACATCTCCTCTTAGCCACCAGAATTCAGCGTCCTTAGCTCTAAGAAGAGGGGCTTGGCTGAGATGTGTAGTGTGAAGAGCTTGAGCAACAAGATGCAACCCAGAACACACCTGGAAGCTTGTCAAACAGAGAGAACAAAGTGCATCTGAAGGGAAGCTAGCAGGGAAGGGGGTGTTCTGGCCTCAGCTGGTGTCCTGAGAACACACAAGTCCCAGAATCCTCCCAGATGACTTTATTATCTTTGAAATACAAACAGATTCAGTTGGGACAGGTTCTTCAGTGGCTCAGGGCTATGTGTCTCTCCAGTTTTTCCAACAGGTCCCAGCCTCCTCCACCCTTTTCTCAACAGCATCCTATGCCCTGTGTTCCCAGCTCCAGTACAGCAGCTAAGAACAAAAACCGGGAGTCAACTGTGAAAACCAACATGGATTCCTTAAAAAGCTTAAAAAGAAAAAATGGATGGAAACCAACAGCAAACACTGCTGTTAAACCCACTACTATCCATCAAAGAATAAAGAGCATAATTGGAGGCAAAATCAGAAGTAATTGCATCAAGGCTGACTAGGGAGCTTGCAAAACCAAGAGGTGACTAAAGGCTGTGATAACTTCCTGTTATCACCAGACCTTAACATTACATCCCTCAGCCAGAAACCCTAGGATAGTCCACAACATTTTTCAGTTGCAGTGAAGTGTTTGTGTGCCTCCACAGTTCCTACCCAGCCACACGACCACTAAGCAATCCTGTTAAGAAAGACCAACATGACTGAGTAAGGAAGCACATGTCCTTGGCACCACTATTGCCCACAAAACAGGACAGGGTGGGAGAGAGATACTAATGAGCATGGCTGAACAGTCACTAATGGGCCACATGTCCCCTTCCCAGACAGTGTTAACAAGCTGCCTGCTGAGCTGCTGTCTGCTTGCTGGGAAGTCTCCCAGCAAGCACAGTGGACTGGTTGAGCAGTTCCAATCAATTCCTGATTTATTCTGCAGAGGCCGGAGACACAGTACACCACAAACTGCAGTGGAAGAACTCCCAGAGCCAGAGGAGCTGGCAGCAGGCTCCGGCTGACACCTGCTGGGAAAAGCAGGTCTTGCAGCTAACAGCAGATGCAAGACATGTCTTTTTCCATAGAAAATTAGTCTAGGGAGCAAGTGCCCCCAAAACCTAACACAGCAGGGTTGTTTGCCCTGAAGCTTATTCTGCAAGCTGTTTTCTAACCATTCACCTTATTTCAAATACTATGGCCAGTAGTTCTGCCTAACAACCTCTCCCCATTGTGCTTTGCTGAAAAGTCCACAAGTTCATCAGTATTTCAGAAACAAGGGGCACAGAGGACAGGAAGGTGAAGATGTGATTTGTCAGGCAAGAAACAGAGCTGGGTGGCCGTGGATAAGTCTTGTCATGGAATCTGCACCGGCTGGCCATTTCAGTGCTGCCTGCCTCTGTTTCCTTCCCTGCAGAATAGCTGAAGAGCCTCTTGATGCATCTGATGCAACTGTTTGCAGCAAGTGCCCTTTCAAAGCCTGAGATGTATAACCACCCTCCTTTATGAGCACCAGGGCTTCAAAATAAAGGCTGAACACACTCATAAAAGACAGAGCCCAATTACAACAAAAGGGACTCGCTAGCAGGTATTGCGGTACTACCCAGGTACCAGAGAGGCTCCAGAGCTCTTTCCTCAGGGGCTCTTCGTAGGAGGATCACAGCATCTCTCAGCAAGTGTGAACAAGCACGGTGACTCACCTGCTTTCTTGAAGCTTCATGTCATTCTGCAGGACGGTGAGGTCTGTTTGGAAGTTGTTAATGTGCAGAGCCAATGCAATGACGTATGCTATGATTTTAGCCTTCATTGATGCAGAGATTAAATTCTGGACACTAGCAAGAGGGAGAACATGAGATGTGGAGTGTCAGTGAACCCCAAACACAATCCCCATGAGGTGCAGACAGAACTGGAGCCCCTGTTAGACATGACTGACTTTTCCTAGACAACAAAGAAGAGCTCAAAGCAATGCAGACCTCTGATCACAGGGGCCTAACAGACTTCTTTGCCCTCCTCACATGCCCCCGTTTCTGTTCAGAAGTGCAGGCCCCTCAGGCTGTTTATCATTATGCAGCCTTGACAAAACTACCAGCTAATGACACTTCAGTCTCTTTGGCACACTAGTCCCTTGCTGGAGGAAAGCAAAGGGAAGCTGTTTTGAGGGCATTCAGTGTAACTACTAACAGCACCTCAAAAATACAATCCCCACAAAGCAGATCCCTGGCTGGCAATCCTCTGGGAGCATTTGACTGCTTGTCACTGGTTTGAGCGTTCAGACAAAAGCTGGCCCATTTGGACTCAAATTCTCTGCTCCCGTCAGATTAACAGCAGCAGTGCAGCTGTGCAATAGCTGAGCATCAGCATTATGTCCCTTCTAGGCAGAGAGGCTGTTAGCTCCCCGAGTGTGGGGAAGGCACTGCGGCAAAAAGTGAGGATACTATTAACTTTTGCCTGTATTTTGGTGCTTCCACTCAACAGGATTACTGAAAATGTTTATCCAGATTTGTAACTGCTTAGTTCTAAGTGGCATCCATCTGAAGGCTGGAGCCAAGGGCCACCTGGTCAAAGGCAGCCTCCAACAGCTGCTGAAGGCCCTCCCTGCAGTGAGACCCCACTCAGCACCACACAAGTGGCTCTGACACTGCTGGAAAGGAGGACCTTGCAGGAGCTTCCCAGCCTCTCCTCCCATCATGGGGTGCTGGCTTCTCCTGGCTGACCTCCGTGACAGGACCAGACCCTACCTTACTATACCAAACTTTGTCACTGCTGGCGGGGTAATGCCTGGGCAAAGCTTAGGGAGAACTCTTTGGCTTGTATCCATATGGGTGCAATGGTGTGGGTCTCAGTGCAGGCAAGTTAACCGGTGCAAATCTTTACACAGTTTTATCTGTGCAGGTTTCAATGGAGAATCCAAAGAAGTAAAGTAATGCTTAGGTTCATGTAAAAGCACCCCTGTTATGCTAATTAAACTATGTGAGTGTAAAAAAGCACCCTTATTTAGCCACGGCATTACCTCTCCTGACCAGCCCTGGGATGGTGGAAGAGCTGACGCATCCATCTGTCAGCTGCCTTGGTTCACAGTGAAAATGTATGTGTGGATAGCTGCCTGTTTAGCTGCACAGTTGAGAATCAGCTGCAAAGCAAGCACCCATTCTGCCATCCTGCACCCAGAAATGGTCAGGCAGATGGTTGGGCACCCCATTCGGCCACGCTAGCTAAATTCACAGGTGCAGGCTTGCTTTTGCACACATGACCCTTCTTTTCCCAGTCACATTTCAGACCTGCACTGCCTAAAATGGACTATCACCAGCCATGACCCAATGTTCTACAGGGCTGGGGTGTGAAGCAAGAGAAGCTACTGCTATCTTCCATTCTGGTAGGATGTTTCCTGATCATGTGCCCATGGCCCTTCAAGCTGAACTCTGCCGTACCTCTGCCTCAAGAACATCAAAACAAACATAGTTCCTTACCTGCCATTGTTGTACGTCAATGAAGTGAAATTCTTCATGAGTTTCCTGGAAATAATGTGTGGGCATTCAGGACCCATTGGATCTAGGATATAAAGGGGTTTTGCAGTGGAATAAGAAACACACACTCTTTCTCGTACTGCCCACCTCCAGCCATCATAATAGCACATTTATTACCATGACTTATCACCTCTTCCCAGGAACATAAGAGACCCTAAAAGGAACCTAGGCGTTTGATTTCTAGGTCTCATCATTTTTCAGGTCAAAGAGAGGCTCCTAACACCTTTTATTTTCTTTACAAATGGGATCTCCCACTTCAATACTGCACCATCCAAAATGTGTGCGTGTGTGCCTACACATATATTTCTTTTAATAGATTCCTGCCTTTTAATAGATGGTCCTGTCACAAAATATTAAAACTGAAACCACACTAACAAATTCCTACTAGCACCAAGACCAGTCATTTCTACATCCTTCTTGACCAAGTCCTACGGGGCGACTCCTGCGTCTCCAGCAATGCAGGAGGATATTTACAGCCACGCTTGCCATTTGCTCCTCCATCACCGCGCTGCCATTGAAAATGCTAACAATGACATTTTCAGCACTGACAAGGAGACTCAGATACACAAGGTCTATGGAAGATGGCAAGTCTTGAAAACCTCAGCCAAAATATTTTGTGCAGTGCTTTTGAGAACAGCAGTTCCTGTCACTTTAAAAGCAAGATCCTGAACACAATGGAAGTATGATCACTGTGATTCAGACATTGAGCTAATAAGTAAAGGATGATGAAGACATTCTCAAAAGCACAAAAAGAGATATAAAGGATGTATTGTGTACTGTATGCCTCTTGCACCTGGAATATGGAGGCCGGACAAGGGAGAGAGCCAATAGTTCCAGCTTCTTGGCTTAGGACTAAGGTATGTAAAACATGTTTATAAGTACAGAACTACTGATAAACTAGAAAGAATCTCAAAATTTCCAATCCAAGCTACCCTGTCTCCTACCAAGAGGATCTCATGGTACCATCCTGATGCACCGCAGTTACAAAGAGACCAAAAAGTATTAAGACATACATCTCCCAGCTGACACAGATCTAACAACCCTCAACAACATGGAGATCCTCAACCTCACCATGAAACAGGCTGAAAGCAACTGCTGCAGCTAGCTGTTTGATCACATAGCTCATTCTGGGCAGCTGTACTGCTTTCTACTGCAGTAATTACAAATCAAGACCCAGCAGGTAGCTTAAAAGTGGAGGAGCTGAAAACTCTTACGCTTCTTCTTGATCACTTTCAGTTGGCTGAACTTAATAAGGGTGTCCAGGAACCACAGGCATCGGGCTTTGTGATCCCTCCTCTTCTCATCAGCAGGCAGGAACTTCAGCTCCTCTAAAACAAAGGAGCAATGGCTGAAGGAGAGAGAGGGGGAGGATGAGCCTCAAAGAACCAAGAACCAGTTTACATCATCAGGAGGACAGGACACACCTGTAACTGCAATGCTCAGCTATTTGAGAAGAGTTCCCTGGACACCTATAAAGCATACCCCAGGAGGCTGCTTTGTGAGCACACTTTCCTGTCAATGCCCACCATGTTCAGCCAGCCCCCTTCAGTGTGCAGCTAGTAAGAAGGTCCCCGCACTGCAGACACTGCAGGCTCTCTATGTGGCACACAGACACACTTCTACTTTGGCAAAGGCAGACAGGAAGCACAGGGAGTGAGGTGTGGTTTGTGCTTTTCCTGCTCACTTCAGCCCCTCAGCACAATGGCTTAACAGCTCTAAGCGTATGTCAACGTCAGCTTGCCAAGCCACAGCAACCTCCACAGCAAGTCAGTACTTGGCTGGGACAGTGCCCAGCCATGGGCATATCATGCTCAGCACAGTTCTGTGGTCCATCTTCTAGGCACTTGCCTTCAGACCCCACTTTGGATTTCTCCACTCTTTTCCTCTGCCATCAGCTCCCCAAAGGGCAGCCATGCTGCTGTGCACGTGACGCCCTCACCTGTATATAACTATACCCCACATTCCCTAAGGTAGGTGTTGCTCAGCCATACTTGTTTCAAACGTCCTCCCTCTGCACCAAAAAGATCAGCCTAGGTACAGTGGAGCTGGCAGCAGTAGTCACCCTGCACCGCAGAAAAACTACAGTTTCACAGGGCCCCACCTCAACTATTACAAGGGCGTTTGCAGCAGCATTACCTTTTATCTTCCATTTTCTTGGTGATTTCTTCCGGAGTGATGTTAACAAAGACTGCTGCTGGAACCTGCAATGCTTCATACTCTGCTGGGGACAGAACTAGAAGGATTTTAAAGAAAAGAACAAGCGTGCCTTTGCTCTCCCTTCTGGTCTGAACAGCCTGCAGTGCGCTAAGTTCTATCCACCCTTGCTTTAGGAGGTGTGGGGCAGGGAAGGAGGGAAGGAAATTATAAATGGGCAGGTCATAACGACAAGAGTTGGAAGCTGGCCAATAACAAAGGTCTCTAAAAGGACTGTGACTTGTAACAAGTCACTTCTCCTGCATGGCTGACCTAATTACCATTCCGAGTCAAACTGCTGCCAACAGAGAGGCACAGCATCCTGCTCTCTGTAGGAAAGAGGCAGAATATGGGACTTGCAGGTCCAAAAATCTCAACACAGCATGTCCCTGCTCTCAGCTTTTGGCTCTTGAGGGGTGAAGGCTAGGCTCATTCACACACCTCGCAGCACTCACTCTCACATGCCAGACCACTGACATCGAGGCTTACAGGTGTGGGAAACCACTCTGCCACAGAAAAAGATACTGTCCTCAAACTTGTAAACATCTTCTGGTTTGTCAGCATCTTCATTACATGGTGGGAGGAAGATGGAGATGTTCTGTACATCATCTTGGGCCACATCCTGGGTCAAAGCTTCAGAGGGAAGCAAGAAAGAAGAGAGTATTTGGACCATGCAAACAAAACCACAGAGAACATGACCACAACCCAAATCCTTCCTTTAAACACAAGTCTACTCAATGGTGCTTCTTGGGTAAACACCAGTTTAATCACAGCTGGAGTTTTAAAGATTTAACTCCAGTTCAGTTTATCTCACTCGGGACAGTAGTAAGGAAAAGGCTCCAGCTCTTCCCTATTTTGTTTTGTTACTGCCACATGTAGGTGCTGACTGTACAGAAAGCGTTCCAGTAGGCACAGAAAGTCCAAGAGCTTTTGATACGCCTGCTATGTATTTAGCATGCTGGGTTTTAGATTGGTGTCATCTCTTCTACCAAGACCTTTCTGCTTCCTAAAATTTAGAAAAGCCACTCCAGACTAGAGAAAAATCCAGGAAAGAAGTGCACCAAGACAAAGTGGTTGCTGCTGCTGCACCGCTTGCCTGCAGGGCAGGCAGAATATGGGTTTGGCACCCTGGGTTCCACTGGACATGCACTTGGCCCAAAGCAGCTCTGAGAGCACAGTCAACATCTAACCTGGAACAGAAGGGATGAAAGCTGACAGGTTCTATAGTCAACAGACATCTCTCCCATTCATAGCCAATGAAACTCAGAATCCCAAAAGTGCTGGTGGAAAGGAGCTCTGGAGGTCTCCTGTCCAACATCCTGCTTGGAATAGGACTGTCTACAGCACTATATCAGAGCAGCCCTGGCTTTGTCGTGCCAAAGCTTGGAAACCCCCAAGGACAGTGACCCCACAACGCTCTGTGACCTGTCCCAGGCCTGCACCACCCTCCAAGGCAAGAAGCGTCCCCTAGTCTCCCACCTGGACCTCCCGGTGCCCAGGGACCACCGCAAGTTGTGCTGTTGACTCTTGCTGGCACTGCTGAGAAGGTTTGGCTCTGACGGCCCTTCAGGTAGCTGTGGGCTACTGTTAGATCCTCCTTGGCTTCCTCTTTGCCAGACTAACCAAGCCCAGCTCCATCTTCCTCTCCTTGTCAGTTGTGTGCTCCAGGCCCCTGCCCGTTCTTGTTGCCCTGCCATGACTCATCTCTCATTTCTCCACCTCCTTCCTGATCAGGGCAGGGGCGCAGGGGGGTGGCACAGGCTGGACAACATAATAAAGATGCAGCCTCACCAGCACTCAGTAGCGGGGTTATCAACTCTCCTTGAAACATCACCTCAGTGTGATGCTTTGGAGAGTGAACATTCCCTGCAGTAGTGACAGCAACTAAGGCCACAGCAGACTCCTCTTTGCTGCAGGCCCCTCCATAGCAGAAGCCTAAGTCCATCAGCCTGGCTCACAACAGCTCTGGGGATGACACTTGATGGGGCTGTGACTTGGTTTAGGGCATGGACCATTTTCCATAGACATGACACTGCAAAGCCAGGGTACAGTTCACCTCAACGAATATTCATCTTCTCAGTCCAGACCAGGTGAATGTACTGCCTTTATCCCAGTAAACTGATGTCCAGGGACTCCTAGAAGAGTTCCCAGTAATGGGCAGGGACAGACACTGATGCCACAGGGACCTACCTGCATTCAGGCAACTCCCACACTAAGTCTAGCAGGATAAGAAGGAAGCAGTCCCTTTTCCACCAGAAAGATCTGTGAGTTCCTCCACACGTGCCCTTCTCAGCTGTTAGACCAGCTGCTTTCTTGGTCACTCAAAGAAAACCCCTTTCTTCCTCCTACCATACTTGGCAAGGAACAGACAGAAAAAGGCACTTCTGATTGCCTTCATTAAACCCTGAGACAGTATTCTTACCTGTTACTCCCTTTGCATTTATAATGTTTGTTGCTGCTTTTGTCACAGCTGTATTCAGAATATCATTGCCCACTGCATTCATTCGCCGAGAGTTCAGAGCTCGCTTCTGCTTGCTGGTACCAAAGGCCTCAATGCACAAATCCATCTGTGCAAGAGAGATGCAAATGAAAACACACTGCAAGACACTTTGCACCTAAGAGGAAAACTCAGCTAACCACCACTTGTTCCACATTCACATTCTTTAAGAAAACTTCAAACATTTCACTGGGCACAACCCAACCATGCAACAAGCACTGATCTGCAAGGGGGCAGGAAGTAACTGGGATTGTAATCAAGCCTAACATAATTATGAAAATACTGCCAAGTTAGGCACTAATAATGCACTGTCTCATAGACCTCCAAGGCACAGAGAGAGTGCTGAACCTGCAGAGGTTTACCCTGCAGTAAACCAAACATCAGTCTCAGACAAGTATCATCTGCCAGTGTTAGCTGGATAATCCCAGTAGAATACGATATGGGGTTTCAACTTTACCTTCTCCCTGTAGGATTTATTCTGATAATCCTTCGTGTCATCAGGTATTAAGTTATCTATAAAAGAATGAAAGTTAGTGTGCTTGGCTTGCAGCAGCCGGGACAGGACAGGTATTCAGTACCCCTTTAGCTCTAATCCATTACTGAAAGACTTGGCACATCACTTCAAGATCTCCTCCATAGGACTTTGTCAATTAAAGAACACACTGAATACAAGAGTACGTACCTCGAACAAAAAATGAAAGGCAGGCCTATTTTTGCTATAAAGCCTACAAGCGTAACACATGGATTGCAGCAATACCCAGGCCCTGCTGTGCAGGGAAAAAATAAGCTCCCAAAAGACCGAATTGTTTGCATTATCCTCCTGGATTCATTAACAAAAAGCAGTTCTGCTGAAGAAAAGCTGTTTTGTTTTTTAGTGATCTAGCCCCTTGACCTGACAATTTCTAGGCTTCCCTCAGCAGAGCAAACCTAGACAAGGCTGCACTTATTCTGAACAGTGACAACTTTCTTACTGACTCCAGCACTTCCACTCTCCCACTCGCTACACTCTCTGATCAACTTCAACCCTAAATTTCACCTTGCTTCCTTCTCCCTCTGTTTTTCACATCACCCAGTGCCTTAAAAGGAGAGTGCAATGTATCCTCCTTCCTCCATGTTGAGGAAGTAAGACAGAAATGAGGATGAAAGAGCAGCCAGGGAGACAACAGAGAGCACTGCTGTCAGCAACCAGGCAGTCAATAGCTGAATGCATACACAGGTCTAGCATGCTGTGACTCTGGTGCTGGGGTTAAAGACAGTATCCTCCTACCTGACAGCAAGGGCTGCATGTTGAATATTTCAGCATTATAGACTTCCATTTGCCCAGAGTCCTTGTCTAACACACCAACAAAATACCTGGGGAGAACAGGGGCAAGTGATTAGTGAGAGACAGTCCAGTGGAAGTGATGTTTTAAAATACATGGTGCAGAGCCATGTGTAGTCCCCACCCCCTGCCAATTCTTCTGCCTTGCAAATGCAAGTTTTCCAAGCACATTCAGAATGTCACAATAAAACAAGTTACCTCCAAGGCATGCACATATATATGTACACACACATACACACACGTGTGTGTGTATGTATATATATAAAAATACAAAGACTTGTTGCTCCAAGTAAATGTAGAAGTCTTAAGACAACTAAATTAGCTCCAAAATGCAGAGATGAAGTCTAGGTGCTGGAGTCCTAGCTGCTATTCTCTTTTGTCTTTTTTGATGTGTCAGGGCCCTTGGTTTCTCAGTGCTTCTGTGTTTTTAAAACATGGGTTCCCTGTGGCCAGTTCTCTGCTTAGTACAAGTCACTTTAAATTCTCACAGCTTCTCAAAAACATGACTTTGCTGTCTCTAAAATAGGATAATTTCTCTTGGGTAAATTCCTTTTCATCCCACATTTCAGAGGGGCAAGCCCAAATGGTTTGTGCTGCTCCTCACCATGTCTCATGACCCACCAGGAACAGGTAGTATGTCACCCTTGGCTGAAGTTGATCAGGGTATCAACTGCACCAGTTTCTTATGCACCCAAAAGAGCTCATTCCATGTGATCCCTTCCAACTGGTGCCTGAACTTGGCTCTGCTCCAAAAACACATCTTCCTAAAACTCAGGACACACCTTCTGAAGACAAAACCCACTTGCACAACAGGCTGCCTGTTGCTGTGGGAGCAATACTATGCAGCTGCTCTCAGAGGAGCTGCCTGAGTACAGTGGGAATCACAGCACCTCACTGGCCAGAAAGGATTTCTGGGCAGTTCCTGCTGTCCCAGGAAGCCCAGAGGTTTGGCGGACTCATTGACTTTCCACTCAGGATAAATCGGGCTGTTTGCTCAGAGGTGTTTTCTGCTCCCTGTTATACCCACATTAGCAGTTGTGAGTGCAGTTCTAGGCTGACAGCTGCCAAGAGCTATGGGAATGTATCCGCTGGAGGAAATCCTCATGCACGCAGCTGAAGCTGATGTGGGAGGAAAGGGACAGAAGGATGGGGTGGGAAAGCTTGAAAGAAAAGCAAGAAATGACTTAATTGATTCTTGCCTGCATCTCTGGAGATCCTGAGCCATGTGTACACCTAATGCAAAACTAATACTTGAAGCTGAACATGTATCAGCAGTTATCTTGCCTTGTTAGTTTCCATAGCTCAGGATCTCCAGAGGTGCAGGCAAGAACCACTTAAGCCACTAAAACCATCTTTTAATCAGTGTTCAGAGATAAGAGTGCTAAATCTGCCTAGAAATAATACTGCATTGATACCTGTATCATACATATTCATTAAACTAATTTTACCTCTCCAAACTCAAGAAGAAAAAGCCCTCAGTGCCTTTTTTCAGCTACAGCATCTTAAACTGAAGACTGTCATATATGAAAGTCCAGCTCTCCTGGTTTCACTTCTCAGAGAGAGGAACAAAGATTAGCATTAGCATGTTTTGGTGGACTATAGGCAGAGGTGAAACCAGTTCCTTTTACAGAATTACAGAGCTGAGAGTTTCAGTTGGAAGGGACCTACAGCTATCATCTAGTCCAACTGCCTGACCAATTCAGGGCTGACGCAAAGTTAAAGCATATTATTAAGGGCATTGTCCAAATGCCTCTTAAACGCTGACGAGCATGGGGCAACAACCACCTCTCTAGGAAGCCCGTTCCAGTGTTTGACCACCTTCTCTGTAAAGAAATGCTTCCTAATGTCAAGTCTTTTTCATATCATAGGACCACCAGGGCACTAACATCTGAAGGCACCTCCTCTTCCTAACAGTTTTACACAACTCTGCTTTTCACTCCCTCACCCTACCTGTACTTTAACTAGTCAGACACCATCAGGTCAGTGCAGTCCAACTAGAGAAGGGATGAGCCATGTGAGCAAACTGCACGGGGCAACTGGAGCGGATCTACGGAGCAGAGCACTTGGTACCAAGAGCCTGACACACACATTACATGCATTTCAGTGTTGCGTAGGCTAGTAGGGGAAGCAATATGCACCAAAGGAGAAAAGAAATACCTCTGGGTATAACAAGGCAAGATTATTTCACATTGGCTCTCCACCCATTTGGCGGTTCTTCTATCAGAGAACGAGAAAGATCTCACATACAGAATACTACTTAGGAGGCCAGTGGGATCTGCCCCAATGCCACAAATGTCACATTCTTAACCAGGACATGTAAAGGCTGGTGATTTCACCAACACTTACTTCTACAGTGTGTGGCACAGACAGCTTATTAGTTCACACAGCAGCATCGTGCTGTGGCCCTGAAGTTAAATTGTGATTAATGACCGAGGGGCTTCTGGGGCAGCAGCAGATGACCTTAGTGATTTTGTCATCTTTATTTCTTCGTTTCTTAATAACAAAGCTGTTATTCCTAGGTTTCAGCTAAATGAAATCATCTCCTCGTGCTTTCCTTCACAAGACCTTTTCAAATAAACTCTATTTGTATGTAATGTCACAACTTCCAAAGGGACATAACATGTACAAACAGTGCAGCTGGAGGTGCTAGAGTCTCCTGTCAAAATCCTCTTGATTCAAATCATGGCCTCCGTGGGAACTTCTGAGACAGCTTTAAGAAAGGCTACCAGGAACTTTGTGTCTGAGCAAGTCCTCTGCTTTCACCTCCATGTCCCTGCCCTCATTTTGCCAGCAAGCCATACCTGCATAGGGAGTTACATTTCATAACTCCGCTGCTGAAGTTATTCCCCACATACGAAAGCCTGTCAGTTTCTGAGACCTGAAAAACAAAGAAAAATTAATTGAATACAGGGCTGTGAATAACCTTCTCTGCATCCACTTTATTTTCCCTAGTGCCACAAAGCTCTACATTCCCAGGCATCGGACACTAGTCACGTGTAGGCAAACTTCACTTTGCCCATTTTGGGTACATTTTGCATAAGGTCAAAATTTTTAAAAGACAGACAACATTTCTTGAACCTGAAACTACCCATGACATGTAATTCTACCTCAGCCTTCACTGGGCCAGAAGGTGAGGAACCATTTTAAAGAAATCATGGGACTCATAATTTAAATTTAGAGTTTATCAGTGTAGCAAACTTGGGTGTCACCACAGTTACAATGCCTCACTAAGTTGACCACTGTAGTTTAATCCAGAAGCAACAGTTTGTGAAAGAAACTGGGTTTACTCACGAAGCCACTAGTGAAGAGAGACCAGGCCTCTGCCAGCCAATTTAGGATACTATTTCCAATGCTTTCCGGTCCTTAACACAGTTGCTCTAAGCTTCCAGCCAGGACAAACCTTACAGATTTCAGGCTGGGCCAAAGGCACATGTTGGGCAGAGCCACCACTGCAACTAAGGAGAACTCAGTTTAAAATGTAATTTTTAATGATCATTTTAAATGATCATCTCCAGTACTGCCAAATGACTGCAATTCACTGACTAAAAAAAAAGATCTAGCACTGTCAAGAATGGCTGTACTGGGTTTACGTGGCAAGGTTTTGGTAGCGGGTTGGGGGGGGCTACAGGGAGAGAAGCTGCTAGAAGCTTCCCCCATGTCCAACAGAGCCAATGCCAGCTGGCTCCAAGATAGACCTGCTGCTGGCCAAGGCCATCAGCAATGGGGGAGGCGCCTTCCTGATGACATATTTAAGAAGGGAAAAAACACTGCTGCAGAACAGAAACTGCAGCCAGAGAGAGGAGTGAGAACATGTAAGAGAAACAACCCTGCGGACCCCAAGGTCAGTGAAGAAGGAGGGGGAGGAGGTGCTCCAGGCAGCACAGCAGAGATTCCCCTGCAGCCCGTGGGGAAGACCATGGTGAGGCAGGCTGTCCCCCTGCAGCCCAGGGAGGTCCACGGTGGAGCAGATCTCCACCTGCAGTCCGGGGAGGACCCCACGCTGGAGCAGGGGGATGTACCCAAAGGAGGCTGTGACCCTGTGGGAAGTCTGTGCTGGAGCAGGCTCCTGGCAGGACCTGTGGCCCTGTGAAGAGAGGAGCCCAGACTGGAGCAGGTTTGCTGGTGGGACCTGTGACCCCGCAGGGGACCCACGCTGGAGCAGTCTGTGCCTGAAGGACTGCATGCCATGGAAGGGACCCATGGTGGAGCAGTGCATGAAGAACTGCAGCCCGTGGGAAGGACCCACATTGGAGAATTTTGTGGAGGACTGTCTCCCGTGGGAGGGATCCCATGCTGAAGCAGGGGAAGAGTGAGGAGACCTCCCCCTGAGGAGGAAGGAGCAGCAGAGACAATGTGCGATGAACTGACCACAACCCCCATTTCCCCATGCCCCTGTACCGCTGAGGGGGTAGGAGGTAGAAAATTCAGGAGTAAAGCTGTGCCCGGGAAGAAGGAAGGGGTGGGGGGGGAAGTATTTTAAGATTTGATTTTACTTCTCATTACTCTACTCTGGTTTGATTGGCAATAAATTAATTTTCCCCAAGTTAAGTCTCTTTTGCCCGTGATGGTAATTACTGAGTGACTTCTCCCTGTCCTTATCTTGACCCACGAGTCTTTCATTATATTTTCTCTCCCCTGTCCAGCTGAGGAGGAGGAGTGATAGACCAGCTTTGCTGGGCACCTGGCAGCCAGCCAGGGTCAACTCACCACAATGGCTCAACCACCTAAACGTATTTTGAAATGTTTGTGTTTCTACTATACTGCAGTATATTTCCCCTGAGGATTTTGGCTGAAAAGTCATTTATTCCTTGAGTGAATCATGCATGTAAGCAGCTGTAAAACTTAACAATAGCAGCAGAAAGCACCTTCAGACTTTAATCTTGGTTCTCTCTTCACTGAAAGAAACAGATATCTCCTTATAATGTAATTTAATGACAACAACAACAACAACAACTTTGGTAAAGAATTCACTGTCTTCACTGCATAAAAATAACACAACAGATTTTGTGATCAAATGGACCTGACTAGTTGTTAAGTAACAGCTTTTATCTTTAAAACATTATTTCCCTTTAGGTTATTAAAATAAATCACGAACACACGTGCACAGACACAGACACACAGCTTCAGTAAATCAACCTTTGCCTGAGAATACACAATCATGTATTAATCACAATTTTTCAAACAAGCACGTATTCAGTTCTGATGGAAAAGTTACTCTCACACGTCACTCTCAATATCATTATCAAAATGTCCCATATTGCATTACTCTGGTTCCTTTCTGTTCCAACAGTCAACCTGCAATGCCAAGCCTGACAGGGCACGGTCTGATCCTGACATGCTCCAGAGAAACCACCGTGCCTGGACACCCGGTGGGGCTGTAGGACCTGCCCCCATTTCTCCAGGCTCCAAGGACACGACGTGGGTCCCCACAGAAGTGCGGGCAGCCGCGGTGGGGAGCCCAGCTTGCCAGCAACAGAGGTTTTACAGGGTAAGGGAATGGCTCTCCTCTGCCCACCCCTGTGCAGGGCTTCCCTGAATGATATAAGGGGTTCCCTGAATGATAAGGGCTTCCCCGTTCTCCCAACCCCCATCACGTCCACCTCTGTTGTGGCAGCAGCCCACCTAAGAACTAGACCTTCCTCTGAAATCCCAAAGATTTTGTGAAATTTGGAAAACGGTTCCTCTCTCTCACACAGACTGGGGCTAAACTCTGATTATTTTTTAAAACATTTGCTACAAAGCAAAGCTCCATGCAGATTTTCTGAGCCTTGCTCACTACACAGTAACGAGAGCAGCTGGAGCTGGGTAGCAGGCTGGAATTTGGAGGGGAACAGCTGTCTCCCTGAAACGGGACCAGACGGGCTATATGTCTGACCGAAGTTTCTAGTTCCTACTTGCAGAAACTGCCATGACGGCAGCCTTAAGAGCAAAAAACGGTGAAAGGGTCACCTTCGCTACCCGCTGAGGTGTGAATTACCCGCGTGTCCTCGGCAGGGCCCGGCCGCAGCTCTCGCCCCCATCACCGACGGGCCCCGGGGCCCCGTTCTGGGCAGCTGCCCAGGCTGCAGCTCAGTGATCCCCGTTAAGCGGCGATCCACGGGGCAGATGGCGGTGGGTGGACGGTGTCAGTGCCTCACCCACCGCCACGGCCCCGTTCCGAGCAGGCGAAGCTCCAGACTCCCATGGCCCCTTTCCGCACCGGAGCCGCCGAGGCTCCCAAACCCACGAGGACGGACTGCAGGTGACCACGGGAGAGCGATCCACGGGTGAACCCTTACCAGGATCCTCCGGTGCTTCTTCCGGGGATGGGCCGTATCCTTGCTTCTGTAGACGGTGAACCGCATGGAGTCGGACCGCAGCAGCCTACCGTTGGAGAACTGCACTGCAAGGCGGCGGAGAAAAGGCCGTGAGACCGAGCCGTGAGACCGGGCCGCGACCCTCGCTCCCGGCCCCCACGCCCCAGCCCAGCCCGTCCCTGTCCCCCATCTCACCCAGCACCGCCGGCTGCTCGGCCTCGGGGTTCCCGCGGTAGCACCAAGCGGCGGCGGCCATGGCGCAGGACAGCGAGGGACGGGGACGGTGGGACGGCCCTCCCGGGGCGGGCCGGGAAACCCTGCACCCTCCGCCCGCCTCACCGACGGGTTCTAAACGAGGCCCCGGCTCTCGGGCGGAGGGGGCGGACACACACGGGGCGGGAGAGCGGTTCACTGCCGCCACCGGGCCCGCTCCGCTGCAGCCGCCATACCCGGACGCGCGGCCTGGCCTGGCCTGGCCAGCGGAGGGCGCCCCTCCGCCCCCCCCGGGGGAAAGCGGGACCCGCCCAATCACGGCTGTGCTTATTGCCGAGTGGTGGGGTTGGGAGGGTGGGGGGGAGAGAGGATAGGGCCGTGCTGCTGCTTCTCAGTAACGTAGGCCGCCGATTGGTTGGCGGGCGCAGTGGGCGGGCCCCCTTCTGGTTAGTGGGTCACTGCGCCATGGCATCACCTCCGGCTGT